CACAGTGGACTTCCTAAGTCTTTCTTCCCTCTCCCCTTTCCCTTTAGCTCACAGGCTATGCCACAGCTGGCCTTGAGCCAGATTTGACAGGCAAGGCATGGGTTAATGATCCCCGGTGATTGCGATCCCACTAGACACAAGGACGGGTGTGCTTTAGATACGCTTACAATGTGATTTGTCCCTCAGAGTGCCATGTATCTGAGCTTGGTCCTCAGGGTGTTGTGCACCTTTCAAGGGGGGCAAGTGGGAGGCCCTTCAATCATTGAGGCTCCTGAGAATTGAGGTGGAGGGCACGGGGCACATTGGTTAGCTCTGGAGCTAGGGCTCTGGAAGAAACAGCCTTGGCCTTTTACCCCCTCCCTGTCTTCATTCTGGTGATATAATCTCTCCTCTGATGTGCTGCTGCCACGGTGCCGTCCAATACAAGGCTCTCACCACAGCCACAAACCACGGGCCACCTGTTCTTGGACTTTGGGCCTCCAAATCTGTGGGTTATATAAGTGTCTTTTCCTTACAAAGTAGCCTGCCTCAGATAGTACACCACAGTACTGAAAACAGGCCAGTTGTGGTAAGCAGTTTCACGCCAGACCGAGATCGTGGTTAAGGAAATATTTACAGAAGCTTTTCTAGTCTCTTGTGTTTCATTTGGGGGTTCTTTGGAGGGCAGCTGAGTCAGGCCCGTTTGTTATTTCCTACAAGCCTTGGTCGGGGAACCATTGGTGGTGTTTTTCCATGTTAGACTTTAAGAAGTCAGCAGGAGGGGGTTGGAGAGATGGCTCAGAGGTTGAAAACACTGGTTGCCTTTCCAAAGGTCCTGAGTTCAATTCCCAGCAACCACATGGTGGCCTGTGACCAGTAAGATCTGGTGCCCTCTTCTGGTGTGTAGGCACACATGAAGGCAGAATGCTGTATAAACAATAAATCTTAAAAAAAAAAGGGGGGGGGTTTTGTTGTTGTTTTGCTTTGTTTTGTTTTAAAAGAAAGAAGTCAGCAGAAGATGACAACCCTAAAACCACACAGTACTCAGCTTGGAAAAGCCCTCACTAACGGGCAGGCTTGTAGGCAGAGAACCAGGGGCAGGGCCCACTGTGCCCCGGAGCATGTCCTGTTAAAAGATGCATGCCAGCCTGACATGGCTAGAGGGATGAGTGGCAGGGGCAGGGATGGGAGAGGTGGTAACCCATAAGGACAACCTTCACTCCAGCCTTTAGGTTTAGAAGGAAATTAGAAGAATTCGCTTTGCCAGCCACATTACAATAGAGCTTCCTGGTGGGGAGAATAGTCCAGAAGCAGACTGGTGGAGCTTGGACTTTGCTCATTCATAAATGTGCCCTCTCCTTTCCCAGGCTCTGCAGGGCGGAACAGTGAGGGAGACCATGAGCTCACGCTGTAGATAAAGGCTATTAAAGGTGTGATTTCTATCACATTAAGAGTTGGAAGTCTCTTGTGCAGGGGAGCAGTGGGAACAGGCATACACCTCATACAACTGTGAGGAGTAAATAAGAGAAGGCATGTTAGTGCTGATTGTGAGCCCTGTGAGCTTGTGCAGGCAAGGTGGGGCCCTGATGGTCACACCCATCCATGAATATGAATCTCCAGCCTCCTGCTTTCTTCTCTGTGTCACCCAGGATCAAGGACTCTGTTGGTGACTAACTTTGATTTTCCTCAGGGTATGAAAGGCCGCAGTTCCTCACCTCAGGCATGGAGGATCACCATAAACATGGCAGGTCACCTCAGACATGGAGGATCACCTCAAACGTGGAGAATCATCTCAGATATGGGGGATCACCTGAGACATGAAGGCTCACCTCAAGTAGCACCTTAGACAGAGAGTGAATGGTAGCTCTATCACTGAAACAAATACCTGAGATAATTGATTTATAAAGAGAAAAGATTTTGGGAGGGCTCTTAGTTTTGAAGGTTTCAGTTCATAAGTGATTATTACCATTTTTTTTCTTCTTCTTTTTGGCTTATAGCAAGGGCAAATTGATCATTGTACCAGCATGTGAGAAATGGTTGGCTTCATTACTGATATGAAAGGAAGATTAAGGAGCAAGTCTTCACAATCCCTCTAAGGGCATCTCTCCAAAGACCTAAAACCTCCCACCAGGCCCCACCCCTTCAAGGTTTCACTTCCCACCAAGGTGGCTTGGTGACGTATTCTTTAACATATGGGCATTTGAGGACACTCCAGATCCAAATTAAGTCAGGGTTTAAACCTAGAGTATTGGGGATAACCTTGGACATGGAGACCACTCCAGATCCAGAGACCAATAATCTTAGACTCGGGACGTTTTGTAGTTTGACTGGGAGATGTTTTCCACTGATTCAGGTGTTTTAGCACTGAACCCTTGGCTGTTGGTGCCATTTCTAGAGATTGTTGAGTGTCTGAGGGCACCAGACACATACCTGGTGCATATGTACACATGCAGACAAAATACCCCCACACAAAACAAGTAAATACTTTAAGAAAAGAAAAGCAACTGATGCAGGGCATTGTCTCAGACACTGGGTGTTATCTTGGACATGGGGAGCACCTCATAGGTGGTGCATCCCCCTGGACACAGTTGTCTCGCTGGCAGGCTGTCTTCCTGTGGGCTCCTTCAGAGCCGTGAGGGATATAAGCGGCCCCCAAACCCTGGAAAGAGTCTCAGACCTCCAGAGATCAGAAACCTCGGTCCACAGCTCAGTTCTCAAGTTCCCAAGGCCCAGGCTTGATCTACAGCACAGCCCCCGAGGGCTGTCCACCACGTAACTACCCACAATTCCCACTAAAAGACACAGCTCTCATCTCAGTCAAGCCACTAGTTTTTCTTTTCACGTCCTTATAACCAGGAAGGTTGATGCTTTAAACTTTTCTTGCCTGGCATGAAAGAAAATGTTGCTTTAGTGGGGAAGGGGGCTTCTATTAAAGCTGTGTCTTCAGGGTTGGAGAGATAGCTTAGCAGTTAAGAGCACTCACTGCTCTTGCAGAGGACTCAGGTTTTGTTTCCCAGAACCCATATGGCAGCTTACAACAACCTATAACTCAGGCCAGCATGGGACAGGGGGAAGACATTGTCAAAAAAAAAAAAAAAAAAAAAAAAAAAAAAAAAAAAAAAAGACCAAGAAGGTGCATTTTGCATTTCCCTCAAAATTCAGGTGTTAGCAAATATTTGTGGAGTACAGGAAAGTTTCCAGTGATAGAAAAGTAGAGTTCAATGGAGTGAAACACCATAGTTTCCAAGGAGTTCCAGAGTCCCACGTGTATTGAGTTTCCAAAAGAATTGATTTCTGTGTCTTTCTAGAAGATTTACTGGTGAAAATAGAAAAGGCTAAATTTAGGGAGGAACTGTGACATAGCCTTGCAGGCCGAATGTGGAGCAAGACAAGGAAAAGCTGAACCTGAAGACTTGCCTGGTGGACGAGCGTGTACTCCTGTTTCCAGAACAATGCAGCCACCATTGACGTCAATGTAAGTGAGGAAACAAAAGGCTCCTTGGGTGTGTGCAGGGTGCAGCTTGGCCCAGCTCTGCTCTGTGTTTGTGTGTGTTGGGGAATGTGGTGAGGTGTCAATGTCAGAGGAACCAGAGGTGCTGCCCTGTCCCTTGCAGTGTGAGTCAACATCTGGCTTCCCAGGGCTCCTGAAGGGCTGCTGAGATGAACTTAGTATCTGCGTCTGAAGAATCACACGGCAGTCCTGCAGTAAGAGAGAAAAGCAACTCACACACAGGTTAGCTGGCTGTGTAGACCAGCAGCTCAGTTTGTTCACAGGCTTCCGCTTACAATGTTTGCTTCCTTTCTATCCCTGGTTCCTATGACACCTCTGGGGAAGATTCACAACAGTGGATGCTGCTAGGCTTCAGCTCCTGGGCAATGCCAAATGACCCTTCCAGCCTTCAAACATAAGACAACCTCTCCTCCCCTGACACCCTGCACTTTCAGAGCCTTTAAGTTGTTCTGTCAGACAGGGAAGTCTTGGGCCCTAAGCCAGTCCCAGAGAAAGTTCTCCTCCCTCCTTTCACCCTTTGGAGAGGAGCCTAAAAATGCTTTAGATGCTTCCAGACAGTGCTCTTGAAAGAACAAGGAGACTCAGCCAAGGTGCCACAGGGCTAGGCCTGTCCTATGCATATACCCTGACTACTAGCCAGTGTCTGTAGCTTCCACCTTGGAAAAGGGATGCACACCCCATCTACCCGTCCTCCAGTGCCCCGCCTCCCTAGAGCTGTACAGTTAATAAACTCCCACCCCATTTGGTTAAGCTTCCTTTCAGAGCGCCAGTCTTTTCTTCATATGCTATTGAGGGCAGGAAGAAATCACTTTTTTCTTTGTATCTCTGAAGAGCAATCATGACCTTATTTCCTGAGTCAACACTTGCAACACAAGGTTTCAAAAATAAGAAAGGCTACTTGGAGGCGACGTGCTCTGTCCCATCTGGGACGACCGTCAGCCTGGGGTCGGTGACCTCGGTGGGTGTGCAGCGGCAGATCCAGAAGGGCCGCCCAGTCTGTGAATGAATGAGAAAGGAAATGAATGAACTAGTTTGAGTGAGCGAAGGGTGTCGGCAGAGAGCTTTCTCGGTCCTGCGGGTGGCCGAGGCCGTCCAGCTCGCCGCAGGTGGTAGGCCCGGGGCCTCGGACTCCACCAGGCGCCAGTTGCGCAGCGGCCAAGCACCAGTCCCCCCGCGCCGCAATGGTACGCGCCACTCCGCGCGGCACGAGCGGGCCACCGCCGTGCCAGGTGAATGGAAGTCCCGCGGGCCGGAAGTGGACGAGCCTACTCGCCAGGGTGCGGGGGGGGCGCAAGAGCGCACAGCGTCTTCATTGAGGAACCGGGGCGGCGAACATGGAGTTCCATGTGCGTCTTATGTAAAGAGAGCGACGGGCGTCTCCACCAATTGACGCGAGGCACTGTCAGTTTCCGCCCCGCCGGTATGCAAATGAGGTGGCGCCGCGACCAATGGCGCGTGCGGAGGCGGGCGCAGCGCGCGCGGTCACGTTTTCCACTATGTGACAGCGGAGGGCGACGCGGCGGCGGCGGCGCGACAGGGACTAGCGGCTCCCGGCGGCTGCGACGCAGGCCGAGCGCACCGAGTGACGGGCCGAGCAAGGGAAGGACGCGCGGGTGGACGCGGCGGAGCGGTGAGTGGCGCGGCGCGGGGCGGCGGCGCGGGGCGGTGGCGCGGGGCGGTGGCGCGGACCCGGACGGCCGTGGTCGGCTTACGTAACCGGCGGCGCGGACAGCTGGAGCTGGGGTCCTGCGCCAGGAGGAGCCGACTGTGCGAACGGCTGCAGCTCGGCCGATTGCAGATGGGGCCGCGCGCTGACCCTCTTCCGGGCGCACACTGCTGCCCACGTTTCGCAGGTCTAGGCACTGAGGTCGGAGAGGTTAGTTAGGCATCTTGTCCGAGGGCGCAGAGCCTTTGAGTGATCGCCACATCAGACTGCGCTTCTTTATTTTCTTTAATTGAGCCGCTCCCCGCCGACTCCCGTGGTGATGTCCAAAGGGGTCAGGGTCAGTGCAGACTGTCCCTAGAATACGGGAAGGTCCTCTGAGAAGCTGAGTCCAGAGGGTCACATCTGGCTCTGGGGAAGGACCACTGATAGGCGCTGAGCCCCAGTAGTGGGGGAGGAGTTAAGCAGAGACAAGAAAGCCCCCAGTACCAATCCCCGCCTGCCCCGCCCCTCCCCCAGGTCAGGGAGACCACTTTGTCCACCCACCCTGTCCTCCATGGCATCCTCCATGCCAGCATTCCCTGTCTCCAGATGGACTGGGCGTTGGGGGGGAGGGTCCTCTCTGAGTTGGAACAGTCACGTCATCTTTTGGGACATACCTTGGCTGCCAAGCACAGACATGGACCAAGTGGGCGGTGGCCTGCTTCTGCAGGAACGCTGGTTGCCAGGGTTTCTGTGTAACGTATACACAAGGAACCAGTTTGGAAAGCTGATTCATACAGAACAAGGGAGCCAGAAGACTCCCTGGAAATCAACCAGGGTAACCCCTAGCTTGAAGAGGCACAGACACAGGCTGGCAGGCTGTGCCACTGTAAAACCAGGCCTGGCAGCCTCAGGATCTGTTTCTCCCTCTTGGTTCACATACAAGCCTGAAGAGGACATGTCCACTCTACCTTACTCTATGGGCTTTAGGTCGGGTTTGTCTGGTGAGAGAACCAGAGTCTGCCTAAAGGCTTGAAATGAATTGTTTTTAAATACAGAGAAAATCACTTTTTGTGCGTTCTTGGAATCTAATGAAGCCGGGGACTCCTTTATTTTAGTGGTAGCTGTGTAGTGTGCCAGCACGGAATGGTGCTGTGGGTGGTTGCAGTTATCTGTCACTGTCACTGGTGTGATTCATTGGTACAAACTGATGCAGCTCAGGCTTTCTGTGGAGGCTTGAGTGCTGGGGGAGGGGGGGCGCATCAGCCCGCTGGCGGCTACTGGGGACCTCGGCTTACCCTGGGCCTCAGTTTCCTCATCTGAGACAGTCTCTGAAATATGGTTCAGTTCAAGTTTGGAGTTCTGTGTCTGTAGACTTTTTTCTTAGATGCCTGCCTAAAAGATAAGGAGTTTCTGAAGCCCTGCCTGATGTCACATGATGTCACTGTGTGAGACATGTCCTTCGTAGGGAAGGGAAGTAGGAAAGGTCCCTGTTAATTTATGCAGTTTCTCTCAAACACTGAAAATCTGGAAAATCCTGGGGGAAGTGGGGGCCTATTATAATGGTATAATTTCATCCAGTCTCAGTGGACCATCGGCTCTAGCTCTGGAAGTTGATGGATGATTGGTGGGGCTGGAGCATGGGGGCAGAGGAAAGAGCCACACTGAGTATTGGTGTTCTCCTACTCACACTGAGCATTGCATTCAGTGACTAGAAACACATATCCCACAGCCCAGTGGAGCCCTCTTCACCCAACCCTGTGGGAAGCTGCCTACCATCAGACTCCAGGGAGAACAAGCAAGTGTAGAGAGCCTCTGCTGGCTGTTCCCATGCCAGGGTACTTGACTCTGGGGACCTGGCCCTCATGTGAAGTCTTTTGCTCAAAGAATATAATCATAACTGGTCACTGTAGGCAGCTCTCCAGTCTAGAGCAAGATATAAGTAGGGAGAGATGCCACACAATTGACCTTTAAAAAAAAAGTAGGTATTTTCGTGTGCGTGTGTATCTTGTGTAATGTGTGTGCGTGTGTGTTTTTAAAGGGCAAGTTGAAGGAGTCAGTTCTAGGGCTCAAAGGCAGGTGGCCAGTCTGGGCAGCAAGTGTCTTTACCCTCTGAGCCACCTCACCAGCCCTCACATAGTTGTCTTGGCACAGTGGGCCTGTTCACTGCAGCACCTGGTCAAATAGGATCAGCACAAGTTGTCAGGGCAAAGGTCTAGGCTTCCTAGACCCCACCGGCATCCAAGCAGCCCTCCTACCAGGGGCTGCCATCTAAGTGCATAATTATTCTGCAGCTTGGTACCTCAGTGTAGGTAAGGACTGAAAAGCATGTGGGGGTGTCCTAGTGAGGCAGTCCCCGCCTGCATGCCTTCTTCTCCTCCTTATTTGGACAGCCCTGGCCACATTTTCCTCCGTTACCCAACCGTCACCATGGAGAGCGTGGCTGTTTGTTTAACAGGACAAACATTTTCTCCGGATTGCAGCAGGCAGGCCCCAGGGAGTTGGCTCCTACCAGGAAGTAGAAAACATGTTATAATATTTGAGGTTGTAAAATACCATGGGGCTTGCAGACTCGAGGTACATGCTGTCAGGTCCCTGTTATATAAAGTTGGATAACAGTCAGAGTTAGCTGGGTTAGCCAGGCTCAGGCTGTTCTTGCAGGCTGGTCAGAGGGTTCAGGGACGAATGCCAAGTTGGGATCTTACGATGTATGTGTCTACACTTTCCTCTCAAGGAAGTTGGTTCTTTACTGATTTTTCCTTCCCTCGGAAAATGTATTTATTTCCCTCTTGAGCAGAAGGCAGTGAGGGTGAAAGGCCCTTCTGTTCCTGGTTGGCGGTGGGAGCTGGAAGCATTTTCCAGGCTGTGCTTCCACTCCTGGTCCTGTTGTGTCGTTGTTTGCTGTTTTTTTTTTTTTTTTTTTTTTCAAACAATTTGTTATGGAAAGTGCAGCTAGCTGCAAAAGCTGAGAAGACAGTACTGTGAACTCCCAGCAGCCAGCTTGGGGCACCTCCTCCACCCCAGACTCATGATCTCATTGCCCAGGGCACTTTCCTAATGGCTGAGGAGAGTGAACATGGCCGAGTGACCGGGGTCAGCAGCCCCAGCTTAACTCCTGCCCTCAGGCTGGCTACTGTCCATGGGCGAGGCCAGTGGATGGATATGGGAAGGCTGAGAGGGTCCCTCCTCCTTCCTCCCGGACCCCTCCCTCTTTGTCAGGGGCTCCTGCCCACCCATCAGAGCTGGGACAGAGTGCTGGACCCTGAGTACAGGAGGCAAAGTCTGCTTGGACCAGCAGCTGGTTCTGCCAACTTGGCAAGCTGATGTCGGTGTGTTAGAGCCACTCGCGCTGAGCAGTGCATTTTCTGGAATAATGAGGTTTGGGGTGACTTAACTTAGTTTGTTGCCTTATGTTTCTACCATGCTTGTCCGGCTCTTTTTGAAAGAAAAAAAAAAGTTTATCTTCCTCTCTAAGGTTGTAACCTGGCAACAGTGCCCTGCTCACTTAGACCCCCCGGGATTGGAACTGCCGGGCACGAATTAGGAGTCCCAGGAACTGAGCCCAGCACAGAACAGCCAGGGTGCACTGGTGGGGTGGGGGCGGTGTGCCTCTTAGTCATTTGCATGTAAGCCAGAGAGGTGCTACCAGCTGCTCCGCATCGAACTTCTCCACTCTACCCCAGTTACTGTGTGACCTGCCTGTCTGTTTCCCTGTCGTGATTTAGCCCCAGGATTGAAAGCTGGTATTTGCCAGTCATTTACCCGATTCCAGATAGAGCAGACCATTTAAGTCTCCCAAGTGTTGAGAGAGGGAGTGTTTTTATTCCCGTCATAAAGGTGGGAAACGTGGCACAGAGGCTAGCTAAGGAACTCGCCAAGATGGCATGGCCACGAAGTAGTGGGGTACGGCAGAAAGTGTGGCCCTCGCAGGCTGCTCACCCAGCTGCCCTGCCCCCACTGCTGCCCTGCCGCTTTCCTAGCCTAAGGCAAAAAAGATGGGCCGTTCATCTGCCTGTGCAGGTGAGATGGATGTGATCTGGAGGACTGGGGTCAAGAGTGAACAAATCCTGGGGCTTCGGGAGGACTGTGTGGCCGTACGGAAGGCCTGGATGCAACCCAAGGGTGCTCAAGTCTATGGTGTACGCGGAATCCCCTGCACCTCACTCCCAGCCCCCACTCAAGCCTGGGCCACCACTTCTTAGGAAGTCTCCTAAGAAATTTTTCTTATCGTGTGTGTTCTAGCTCCTTGTTGGTCATCCGTGTTCTAGAAGGCGAGCCCTGGGAGAGCAGGGTACCCCCTGTACTCTGGTCTGCTAGAAGGCCAGCCTAGGGATCACTGGAGGCCAGTGCCTGCATGTGTGCCCATGTGGTCTGCCCTGGGCTCCTCCTACCACACTCTTATAGTGGGTGCACAGAATTGTGTGTGGTGCGGTGTCCTAGGCTATGCTCTCCCACCTCTCCCAGTGAGTACCCAGAACTCTGTGGTACACAGTCCTAGATTATACTAGACTGTCTTTCCAGGTGGATGCCCAGAACTCTGTGGTACACAGTCCTGGGCTATGCTAGTCTTTTTCCTCCAGTAGGTACACAGAACTCTGTGGTACATAGTCCTAGACTATACTCTACTGTCTCTCCCACTGCGTTCCCATTACTCCGTGGTACATAGTCCTGGACTATGCTAGCCTACTTCTTCCAGTGGGTACACAGTACTCAGTGGTGCAGAGTCCTAGGTCATGCTAACCTCCCTCTCCTGACAGGTACACAATGCTCTGCGGTGCAGAGTGCCACACATGTGCCTTCCATAGTGTGTGCTATGCCCTAGGAGTCTAGCAGGAAACATTCAAAACTCTTGCTCTTTAGAGAGGAATATAAGCATCATCCTGACACAACCTCCACAGCGAGAAGGTGATGAAGTTCTCCAGGTAGTTGAGGAGAGTGCTGGGGGTGAGAGGGAGCAGCAGCTCAAAGTCTTTGGAGTGAGACTATACACAAGCTAGACCGAGGGGGTAGATAGATAGAGGAGATGCCCAAAGCTCAAAGATCCTTCAGCCCCTTTTTTTTACAGAGTCTGTCCCCTGAGTAAGGGTTCCATCACAGGCCTAGTATAAGGAGCATCCATTCACCAGACTCACTTCTACTGTTTTGACTGCAGTGAGGCCAGGTGGAGGAAGTAGCCCAGTTTGGGAGTCGAGGCTGACATCTGGCCAGAATGGCTGCACTACTCAGGTATAATACAGAGATGCTCCCCAAACCCCCACCTGTGGAACTGCTTGAGTTCTGTTGTTCTACAGACTAAGTGCCCACGACTTGCGTGTGGGGTTGCGAATTTCTGTGTCTCAGTTCCTAGAAAGAGGAGAGGTCACATGCTCCTTCCAGAGAGCCTCTGTGATGGCATGACCAAGCTCCCACGCCCAGCTGTCCTCCACCTAACTGTCATCATGCAATGGCTCCGCTAACACTCAGTGACCAGTGGGCAGCATGACTTCTTCCTTTGCAGTTTCCTTGTGCTGCTGCTCTGAGCATCTCTCCGTCAGTTCCTGCATCTGTCTCTCTGGGAAGGTTTCCTCCGTGAAGCCTATGTTTCGGCACTCTCCAAAAGTCTCCCTTCCCTCTTCCCTTGAATTAGGCACAACTTCCCAACTGCTTTATACAACATAAGGCCAGAACTTGCACATTTTGTTCTGACTTCAGCTGGGACAGTTCCTGCATTTAGGTTTCCTGTAACTTGGGGTACTGACAAATTCCATCTGTCTATAACACAGCAAGCAATTTCCTGTCTGGGGTGGCCTCACTTTCCTGCACACCTCTTCCTTACAGGGCTGGGTTAAACAGTGGTTCCTGGTGCCACTTTCCCCCGCTGCCTCCTGGCACCCTTCTTCCTATTTTGAAGGTCTCATATTTGGTTTTCCTCATCAGATACCCATATCACTTTGTTTGCTCTTAAAAACGTAACTTCTACCAGGGTTGCTAGACTTGTAGTACATGATTTTGTTGGGACCCGGGCTGTCTGTAGATTGGCAGATTCAAACCTGTCTGTCTCAGATTTCGAGGCTTTTGTAGAGAACTATTTTCCCTGGGTGAAAATGGCCACTTCCTGCTTGGTCTCACTTCCTCCCAGGCTATGTCACCTCTTCCTTCTTAGACAGCTGTGGTATGCACACCTATAACCGCTATAACCCTGGCACGTGGAAAGCTGAGGCAGGAGGATTACAACTGCAAGACCATCCTGATCTACATAGAAAGACTTTATTTTACAAAAAAACAGCAACAAAAAAATTTACTTTCTCAGGCAGCCCCTGTCACCACAGGTATTTCTTCCTTCTTGACTGAACTGTGTCTTTTTTAATTTTTTTTTAATCATTTATGATGTGGTGTTTTTGTCTTGACATGTGGCATTGTCTGTTTTAGTTGTTTGTGTTATCAGACCTACCTATTGTAGAATTTTTGTGCACGAGAAGTAGGTGCCATCAGCCCCGTCTGCTCTGTTGCTAATGGTGGTGCTTCTTTTTTGGCTTTTGTCTGTTAATTGTGGACAAACAAGGTGTCATCACTCAGCCCGTTCCCAGAAGCAACTTGGCTAGCTTCTGCGTGATGCCCATCTCCCTGGAGTCAACCCCACAGCGGGTGAAACCGGGGAAGTTGCTGGGTGAAGGATCATGTTGGGCCTTATGATGCCTTCACCAGGATATTGGCTGCTTTGTTTCCTACATAGATGGCCACTTTCTTGGTGTGACCCTATAGGGGGCCTCAGGCTCCTCTGACCCACAGTCTGTCTGCTAGCATCTTCCCAGTGGTTACACTTGTCCCGTTGCGGCAAGGGGGAAAATGGGGGATCTGTGGTGTCCATCTTCCTTGGGGTCTGGAGCAGCTGCAGGGTGTGAGACCCCAGCACACCCCGGGAACATTGCTGCTCCCCTCGCTGCCTTGCCTAGATATGCCTTTGGTGGCAAACAGTAGGACCCTTTGGGATTTCCGGGGCTGCTGAAAACTACTATTCTCCAGTAGTTTTAAATCCTTGGTCATATCACATGAAATATAGGAGGAACGGGGTGGGGGTGAGTGCAGACAGCATTCCTGTCCCTGTTCCAGCCTGGGAAGGGTGAGCACATGCCGCAGACAGGCAGTGCCTGGTGGACCAAGTCAGCACAGAGAAACCTCTAAGCTTATGTGGAACAGGACCCCAGGAGAGTACCCCAGGCTAGTGTGGAACCGGCTGTTACCCAATCCTAGGCAGCCCTGGGTGAGTGTCTTACCCCATCAGCTCGTCTGCTGCATGGAATCCTGCATGCAGCACAGGCAGTGATTGTAGTGTGACCTGAGCCTTCTGTTGTCAGCTTGTGTTTTCCTGACTGCAGGGAAGCCAGTGGGGATATTGTGCCTTCCAGGAACCTTCCAGTGAACCTGCTGTTGCCACTTGGCCTCCTAGCAAGAGTCAGCAAGTCCCTTGTTCCCTGGCTTCCTCATGTGCTTGGCAGAGTAGAGGTCAGGAGGAGAGAGCACCCAGGCATTTCTTCCTCAGCCTGCAGTGGTCTGGGTTTCCTTTGGTCTTTCTTCTGCCCTGCCACCCTGGGTGATGGTAGCCCCCTCTCCCAGACCCAGCACCATGCCCTTAACTGCTTTTAGCTGTTTGCATAAACCTGATATGACTTGACCCAGCTTAATCTGCTTCCTGCCGGGGTCCTGCTAGAAACATTATCCCTTTTTCTCCCAGGGGCATCCACCAGTCCTGCATCGTTGAGCTGTGGCCTCCTGTCTGGTGAGATGCCCACCCTTCCCAGGCACTAAGTCTGTGACCCTTCATGGGGTTCAGGTTTCTATGGCAGACTTGTTAGTGGTGGAATTTTAGCTCCTTCTACCTACCTATCCCTAAGCACGCAAGTTGAAATTTCTATCTAGTGTGGGCATGGGATCCTGCCAAATGTAAACCAAGCCCATGGCTGTGATGCTTAGGCATTTGCATGGCCCCCAACTGTCCAACTGTCCTCCCCACTCAACCACGTTTTGCCAACGCCAGGCTACGTACAGTGCTGGAGCCCCTAGTACCTGGAACATGCCATGACATACCTGATGGACCAGCCTTCTGGAAGCCTCTTCACCCCTCACTCAACAGTATTACATATTCAGGAGGCCTGGCTGCCCTCAGCTTTTCTATAGCACATGCCATGCTGTGATGGAGTTGTCTCTGGACCCTGCTGCTTAATGTCCCCTGGGAAGATAATAGAAGAAAGATTCTTAGGCCCCGCCTACCACTTAGCATGACCATATCTCCCCACCACCTGGGTGGCTGTCAGTGCCCCTGTCTTCCACTGACAAGGCTGTTGGTGCCTCCACAGCCCAACTGAGGCTCCCAGGCTAGAGCTCTTCCTGATCCAGGGCCAGTAGGAATTTAGGATTCAGGAACACATGAACACAGGCGTAAATGACAGCTCTGCCATCACTACTGAGACTCATGCTAGGCCAGTGCCTTCCTGTTGAGCTGCTTCCCCAGCCTTACCGGTGCCCTTTAACGATCGCCCACAATCTTCTCCTTCACCAGCTTCCTGCCAGAGCCCGACATGAATGGATATGTGGACTTTTCCCCTAGTCCCACCAGCCCCACCAAGGAGCCGGAGGAGCCTCCGCACACCCAGGCTGTGCTCCAGGAAGATGTGGACATGAGCAGTGGCTCTAGCGGAAATGAAACCAATGAAAATTGCTCCACAGGGCGGGACTCTCAGGGCAGTGACTGTGATGACCATGGAAAAGAACTACGGATGCTAGTAGAATCTTCCAACACTCACCCAAGGTAGGTTCAGCCTTAGGCCAGGTCCTCACACACAGGACACTTATGGCTTCCTTCATATTTGGTATTGCCCATCTTCAAGCAGCAACTTCCAGGACTTGTAGGATTGTAAGCACTTCTTAATTCTGTTGATAATACTTATTGGAGTCTGTCCTTCCGAGTAACAATACCACAATCATCTCTGCATTTTTGTGTCTGATACCTTTTAAGTCAGTCCCATGAGATCTTGGAGGTAGCTGCTCACACACGAAAAAGGCAGGTCTCAGAAAGTAGATTATTCCCTCTGCATTTCCATCTCTCAATGCTCAATCCTCTTAATATCTGAAGAGCTTATGTTCCAGTTTTAACATGATGTTTTCTTTCTTAAGTTTAAATTTTAATTTGTATGGGTCAGTTTGCCTGTATGAATATCTTTGTACCACTTGCATGCTTGGAGACCATAGAGTACAGAAGAAGCCATCAGATCCCCTGGAGCCTGAGTTACAGATGGGTGTTAGGAGCCATGTGGGTTCTGGGAATCAAACCTGGGCCCTCTGAAAGTACTCTTCACCACTGAGCTGATTCTCCAGCTCTGTTTTATTTTGCGGGGAGCCATGACGGCAACACCGTGGGCCTCAGGCATGGCAGGCAAGTTCTCGGGTAAAGAACAGAGCCATCATCCAGTGCAACTGACTGTATTCTTAAAAGTCCCTGGTGTGGTGTCCCCAGTCTGTTTCCACTGGCTGGGTGGGTGGGAGAAAGGCATCTAGATTTGACATATCTGCCCTTGCAGCCCTGACGCCTTCAGACTGATGATGACAGAGCCGGAACACAACCCCTCCATGAGCGGCTGCAGGTGAGACCTGCCACAGTTCCCACCTCAAACTCTTTCAACAAGTTGCAGGACTTCCTCTCAGGCCAGGTTTGGAAGTAATGTGCCAACTTCTCTTAAGCTCTGAGAAGTATGTTGGTCTGATCAGCCCGTCAGTGTGACTGGTGACATCTGCCTTTCACACAGCCACTGGTCCTGTAATCCTCTGAGCTCTGGTTGCTCTTGGGCACCTGGTTCCTTCCAGCTCCACTCCAGGCAGTCTTACCTCCATCCTGTATATTCAATAGGAACTGACTCACCATTTTGCAACAAATTATCTGTGTGTCCACAGACATTTTCTTACCATCTTTGGGCCAGAGTCCACTCTCCCAGGCATGTGGGCACTTGGGTATTGAAGTCTTAGGAACCTGACCCATCATTTTTTGGATACCTTCTCCTTGACACAAGCCATTTACATCAGCAATTCCTTGCTGTCATTCCTGTCTTCCTCTGTTCACTCTCTTCTCCTTGGGAGCCAAATTCCTAGAAGTCCCCTTTCTGTCTTCTGTTCTCATGACCTATGCTCATGTCTCTGGGAGCTGTTCTGTCCTCCTCCATACAGTCCTTGACCCTCTGCATGGGGTAGGGAAGGAGGCAGCCCAGTGGGAAAGCCTATACCACTATTCCATGGGTTGACAACAGCCCTCCTAAATGAACCTAGCCTGACCTCATGAGAAGGATCTTGTTGGAAGGACTTCTGTCTGGGTAAGAACAAGGATTCTTATCAGTCTGTGGTCTCCCAGAAGGAGGCATTTGGCCAAGTCTATAGACCTCGTTAGTGACCACAACTAAGAAGGTGCTGCTGGCCTACAGTGAGGAAGGACAGGGATGCCGATGTCCCTGCCCCCAACCACTCTTTTTAAAGGCTCACATTTGATTGCCTTTTTTATTTCCCCCCTTTTTTTTTTTCCCACAGTAGCGAGCAGTCTGCCAAAGCTGACGCACACAAAGAACTGATAAGGACCCTGAGGGAGCTGAAGGTCCACCTCCCTGCAGACAAGAAGGCCAAGGGGAAGGCCAGCACGCTGGCCACCTTGAAGTATGCCCTGCGGAGCGTGAAGCAGGTGAAGGGTATGTGCACTTTGCACGTCTTTTTGTTTTTTATTGGAGAGTGTGTGTATGTGTGTGATAGTGGTGGCATGCATGTGTGTGGAAGCCAGAGGAAAACCTTTTGTGGAGTAGGTTATCTTCTTCCACCTTTGTAGGCTCCAGAGATTGACCTCCAGTCTCCAAGCATGTGCAGCAAGAGCCCTTGCCATCTTACCAGCCCCAGAAATGCATTTTAGATGTCCAAACTACAGTTTAAATAGTCTCAGCTTCCTAACATCCATCCCTAAAATAACAGAAGGAAGCAATAAAAATCTAACGAAACTAAAGTTGGTTGAGAACCATAGTTTGTTGCTGTTTTCTATAGAACTGGACTTTTAGAGGCAAAACCAAAAGTAGGCAGAAAACCGGGGGGGGGGGGGGAAGAAGTCTACTTACCCCATAAGCCTCTTGCAGTAAGATTAGGTCATATTCAGAAGTCTAGCATTTTCTAGGCTCTGGCATGTGTTTGGGACAATGCGTGAGAGTTGAGAAAGTTGGCCACACACCACTGTGAGCTGGGTGGGTCAGAATGGGATTGAAGGACATTCCTGAGTTCTGCCTACCTTTACTGTAGCCTGAGAGAAGAAACAGAGGGAGCTGCTAGCTCTCAGCATTTGGTTTTCTGAGACAGGATCTCATGTAGCTGGCTGACCACAAACTCACCATGCTTGCTATGTAACTGAGGATGACCTTGAACTTCTAGATCCTTTTTCCCCCACCTTTGAAATGCTATAGGATTACATTTGATTACAGATGTGGTGTGCACCACCATATCTGGTTTTATGTGGTGTTGAGGATCTTACTGAAGACTTCATGCATGCTAGGCAAGCGACTCTACCAACTAAGCTAAATCCCAAGCACATTATGTATGAATGTATGTATGTTTGTATGTGTGTGTGCATGCATGTTTGTTAATGTGTAGGTACCTGAATATATGCATATGCACCAAATGTTTGCAGTGCCAGCAGAAGTCAGAAGAGGGCACCAAATCCTCTGGAACTGGAGTTACAAGCATCATGTGGGTGCTGGGAATTGAACCCTGGTGCTCTTAATGGCTGAGCCATCGTCTCTCCAGCCCCCTCCCCCAGCCACTTCTTAATTCATGAACTCAACTCAGGTGACTCATTCCCTGTTAATTCAAAAATGTTTACCTACAAAATATTTTCTGCCCTGCTGGTTATTTCAACCAAGAAGGAAGGAGACAGGGCACAGCAACACCACCCATCACTTCAGTTCCGTCACAATCAGGGGCAACTCTGTTCACCAAGAGTTCATATTCTTGGGACCTTCAAAATGCAGATCCTGCTACTGATTGTGTGTTTGGACTTGGAGAAGACAGAACATGGCAGAGCATTTTAACTGGCCCATGAGGTAGAAGACTGGGGTTTCTAAATAAGAACACAGAAGCAAACAGTGGTGCTTTCCTGTTGAGGGAGCCACTGGGTCCCTAGCACCCACAGTGGACACAGCCCTCCCTCAATTGCTCCTCCTGCCCAGGGTCTGCACAGAGCAGCTCCTCCATCTCCTGGCTCTCAGGCAGTTGCTGTTGCCCTTGACTTTCAGACAGCCAGGGAACACCTGTCCCCAAGAGGAAAGCAGGCAGCCCATCCCACGGTTTAGGCCTCAGTCTCCTGGATAGGTTATTTCAGGATGGTCTAGCTGCAGGCATTGGCAGAAAGGCTCAGAAGTGTTTAGTCAGTTGCTGGGCACAGGGATGTGAGCTTTGTCGGTGCTCCACTGTGGAGAAAATGCCTTCATACAGGCTGTCTTAGAGTGCTAAGTGTTTCATCCCTTCTCTTTCCAGCCACTGATGATGGGGGGGGGGGTCCCTAGCTGTGTGCTTGGACTTGGAGTGAACAGGTAGAGGCTAGCATCCCACCGGGGCAGGGAAGGCAGGTGCCATGGGCAGGTGGTTTGAAAATCACTCCCTCTCCACCACTTCACCTATGTGTGGCACCTGTGTGAGCAACACCCTACATCAAAGACTGTGCCTCTGGTCACAGTCACACTCAAGGTCTAAGGGCTGAGTCCTGCGTGTTACCAGTACACTTCAAAACAGACAAAGCCAGAAGGCTGCGACCGAGGCAGTGTGGGCTTTGCTGTTAGCGTCGCTAGCCATCTTGAAGTCACCAACCCCGTGTTCGGAAGTCTAGCTGTGAACTTGTATTGCAGACAGGCTTATATTTCTAAGTGTCTGGACAGCTTTTTGTCGGAAGTAGGCATGTTGCTGGTATTGATCTTGAATCCTGGAAGGCAGCTGCAGGAGCATCATTCTGCCGAGTGCTGGCCTGTGAACATGTTTAGGCGGTCTTCAGCCTGAAACCTCTGTGGCCTCCTCCCTAAGCTGCTCTTTGGAAAACTGATGTGGTCTGAACAGTGCTGTCTGCTAGCCAGTACAGGCTTAACATGTTTAGGAACCTGGTCTCTAAGGTTGGACTCCACAGTGAGAGGAGGCCTTGGCCCTGGGGCCTGTGCCTGAGGAAGACCCGTTTCTCTGGAAAGAACAGCTACATGAGTCAGCCTGACCTGGAGGCAGCCCACTCTCCAGGGACTGTCGGTTTGTATGCCTCATGCTTGGCTTCCGCAGTAACTTCAGAACTTGGGAGCTCTGCCAAATCAAGAACTTTCCTAAGCTTCGCAGCAGAGAGCATGCTCAGAAACCTACCAGCCTGTGAAGGTGAGGAAATTAACATCAGATAAGACCTAGTCATGGGTCCAAAGACCTCACCACCACACTGCAGGGCACACACATGCTTGGCTGGATCCCAGGGTCAAACTCCAGGCCACAGCCACCCCAGGTTCCATCTACCTGAGGGCGTGTGGAGCTTCAGAGGTAGGAGTGACTGCTCTGCTTCTCTGTGAGATGAGGTACTGGGCTTGGGGCCCCCAGTATCTCACCAGATAGGAACTCAGGTTAGTGGCCACATTCACAGACGCTGTTCACAGAACTCTTTCCAGTGTGGCTTCTGGCACCTGTTCCTCTTTCAGGCAGTCTGTTCTGCCTGTTTGAAAGTTTCTAACAGGACCACCCAAAGCCCAGGCGCAGGGGCTGCTCCTGTGGTCCTGAGTGAGTCCACTCGGGCTACATCGCACTTCAGGGCCCTGTGCACCCTTGTGACTTAAAGGAATGTAGTTATGAGTTTTAAAACTCAGAACAAAGGCCTGGCATGTCAGAGAAAGTCTCTAGTCTGCTCTTGAGTGCTATCCGCTCAGGTCTGTGCATTCTCAGGATCCAAAAGAAATTGTGTCCCACCTCAGTTGTTCATTTGAGAAAAATGGACCCCATCCGCAGGCCCAGTGACAGTGTGCTGTCATGTGGTTTCACCTGCTGAACATGAGTGTCATTTCCCTTGTAGCTAATGAGGAATACTACCAGCTGCTGATGTCCAGTGAGAGCCAGCCCTGCAGCGTGGATGTGCCCTCCTACACCATGGAGCAGGTTGAGGGCATGACCTCTGAGCACATCGTGAAGAACGCTGTGAGTGATTTGACAGGGCACAAGTTCCCCCTTAGTAAAATAAAGTCACAAAGTTGGTGATGCTGGAGCAAAGGCACGTTCTAGACTAGAAGACTGTCTTCACCTTTGGCCGACTCTTGACTCATAGCTCCCAGTACCAGAGAAACCCAGCTGTGAGGCTTCAGCTTTCTGTGGCCTCAGGATGAAGAGACAAACTTGGTTACTACCCATTTGTCCAGGCTTCATGGTAAAAAGGTCTGGGTCCAAAGCCCACATTTCTAAACATCATATAAAGGCCTGGGAGAGGAGAGATCCCCCCTCTTGACATCTCAGAATAGACAGTAACCTGTGAGGATCCATCGCGTACTGGAATACTGTTGACCCTGCCTCAGCCCAGCTCCTTGAGCCTTCCTGCCTCTTTCTGACTGCCAACTCCCTCTAAGGGGAGGCCTATGCTCAGGGGGACAGGTAGCTCAGCAGGCCACCCCCAGAACCTGAAAGAGACCAGCTGGCAAGGGTTACTTGGCCATGCCAGGGCAGCAGAGGTTCTGGGGAAGGCTGGCCTAGTGTGTCACTCCTAATGGTGTTGTGTTGGAGTTCTACATTAGAACAGGAAAGTCAGGTTGGCCAGGATTGGGGAGACCCAAACAACCCCTGGCCCTCATGTTGGGGTGCTCCCACTAGCCTTATGGCTGGTCAGTCCATAGGGACTGTCGTCGACTGATCTTGTTCTCTGTTTCCAGGATATGTTTGCTGTGGCTGTGTCCCTGGTTTCGGGGAAGATCCTGTACATCTCTAACCAAGTTGCCTCCATTTTTCACTGTAAGAAGGATGCCTTCAGTGACACCAAGTTTGTGGAGTTCCTGGCTCCTCACGACGTCAGTGTGTTCCACAGCTATACCACCCCTTACAAGCTTCCACCCTGGAGTGTGAGCAGTGGACTAGGTGAGGTCCTGGCTACAGTGTCTTGTCCCCTCTAAGTAGGAGTGTGGAGAAGGCTGGTGGCCAGGGGAATTGCTGGGAGCTGGCTCCCTGTCTCGGAATGACCTATGGAGCCCTCCCAATGGGCTGCCAGCTACTAATCTGTCTAGGGTAAGAGGCAAACAGTTGTTTGTCTCTAGAATAAATAGCCTCTTTGTAAACTTCAGAGAGACTTCAAAATTAGGCATTTTAGAAATAAAGTTATTCGGGGTAGGAATCTTGACATAACTGCAGTGTAGGAGATGGGTGTATCCTCAGGGCAGAGGGTTGTTAAGTGGAATGCCATCTTCCTGCGGGCAGCAGGTAATCCCCTCATGGCCTCAGCTGCTGTAATGGGCTTGTGTGACATTTGTCAGGGTGACTTCCCCAGGATCTTCACCTTGGCTGGAGGCAGGTTCATAGGTGTAGGTTATAGAGCGCTCTGGCCTTGCACAGCATTTCTATGTGTGCTGGCTTTGTGACCCACCCGTGTCCAGCCTCCTTGCCCTTGCCAAGCTCTTCTTGTCTGGCAGTCAGGGCACTCTGTGTTTTCCTTCTGAGGAGTCAGTTTCGGGCATTCTCCTTGTGCCCTTTCAGCTTCCCCCAACCGCCAATCAGTCAGCTGTAGTTTGGAGCTGTCCCTTCCCAAACTCGTGTGGGAATTTGCTGATGTCACAGTACTGAGGTGGGACCTTGAGGTGATGAGGTCATGAAGAAAGACTAATGCTAATGTCAAGGGACAGAGTTCCTTGACAGGACCAAACTAGCACTGAGGGGATGAGTCACCATAAAGCAAGACTTGTCTCTTCTGCACATGTCCTTCACACTGTTTCCTGCCGTGGTTTGAAGCTGGCCCTTTCCAGCAGCTTGTCGGATCCTTGCACTGTGCTGTGACATCCCAGCCTCCAAAACCATGAGCTAAATTAACCCATCTTCTTCCATGTCATCCTGTGACAGCTTGTTACAGCAACAGAAAATGGTCTGGAACTGGGTGCTGCTGCAGCAGTACCTGGAAAGGCAGAGGCAGATTTGGGACTAAGGGAGTAAGGAGCAGCTGAAATATATCAACATGAAAACCAGAAAAGGCCTGGGTGTTGAGGGCAGTTCTGGTGTGGGGGCAGGGAAGCCAGAGGACTGGGGAAAGTTGAAGCTTTTCTCATTTGCATAAGTGGTTGTGCCCAGCATGCTGATAGAAGTGTCGAGGGAAGAGCTGTTCTGACGGAGCATTGAAGTCTGGCCATATAGAGTGGAAAGGTATGTGGGGATGCAGTCAGCCGGACTGCTAAAGGATTCCGTGAGTGGGAGATGAATAGCAGTGAAGGCCTCTTCACGACAGGAAAGTACCTGGGATCGTCAAGGATGCCTCTGCTCCCTGCATCTGCACGTTGCTCTTGCCAGCTCTGGATGTGGCCCCAGTGCTGCAGGTGCAGCCCTCACGTTCTCCAGCAGGCATAATGCTTAAGCCTTGGCAGCATCCTCGTGGACTGATCCTGCAGGCAGGAAAGTGGGGCATAGCCTCCTCTGCCACAGGAGGAAATATCACTGAGATTGCACCAAGAAGTGCTGGAAGCTAGAGCAGCAGAGCCACCAGAGGCAAGCCACTCATCCTCAGAAAACCACAGACAGCCCTGACAGCCCAGGCTGACTGAGCCCAGCAAGCCGTGGGGGAGCTACTTTCTGCTTTGGGGGCCCAGTCTTACCCACCCACACCAGATGTGCAGGAGGTGGTCCCTGGGGTAACATGGTGATCCTCCGGGTTTAGGACAAGGTCTACGGGCCCTGGTTTCAGCCTTGCTTGAGGCCTGTCGCCCTTTCCTTCTGGCTGGTCTTCCTCTGGAGCAGCATGCCTAACCCATGCCCTGCCGACTGGAAGCAGATGGGTTGTTTGAGCTCACAGCTGGACTTTGGACTTCCTGATTGGCACCAGAGACTATGGGATGGAATTGATTATCGTGTTGTGAGAAGAGTGTGAGCTACGGCAAGCTGGATGGACCACCTGTGGCCAAGTTGTGGGCTGCTCCTCTCAAACTCATGCTGAACTTTGGTCATATGTAGACTGTTGGGTGGCTGGTCTTTTTTTTTTTACGGGGTGACTGAGTCACTTGGAGGATTTGGCAGGTGTGCTTTTGTTCTCTTGGGACTGATTGTTGTGACCATTACCGGCCATCACACTGGCAGCCCCTCTTTCCTGCCCTTCTGGCTACAGGCCTCTTGTGGCTAAACTTTTCAAGTCTTCATTCTGTTTGCCAGCTTCCTCTGAAGACTCTGACCCTAGAAGGGCCACAGTGCTTCCAGGGTCACAGCACTGCCACTGGTGGAGGGCTGAGTAGGAGCTAGCCTCCATCGTCACTGACAAGGGTAGCCAACAAAAGAGTTCCTTGGTGTCTGCCCACCCATGGCTGATGATCACAGCCCCTCATGGGCTTTGGATGCCCAGAGCCAAAGCGGGACTGAAGATTGCAGCTTCCAAGGAGCCAGAGGAACAGGGACAGAGGCAGGATGGCTCTGGGCATGTCACTCAGAACTGTCTGCAGTCTTGTCTGTGTCTGGCAGGCCGTTGAGCTCTGTTTACACAGTGGCCTCTCAGCCCTTGCCTCTACCACCTGGAATCAGTGGCTCTGGCCAGCCTGAGGGCCTCTCCCACCGACAGTTCCCCTCCTCTCCATTTCTGTTCTGGCCACGTTAGAGATGGACACTGCCTTATGTCCTTCACCAGCTCAACAACTCTACCTCTTTAGTAGGCAGCCTGGGGCGCATGTGCCATTTTGCTTGAGAGTTTCCTCTGAAGGAGGTTGTCTGCTTTCTCCCTAATCCCAGGGACTGGGCAGATGGTTAGACGTTTGCAGTGTGAGTTACAGCCATTGATGTGGGTAAGGATCATGGAAAGGAAATGGCTTAGAATGTGGATTGATAACTGAGCATTCTGGGCTGCCTTTCCAGAAAGGACAGCCAAAGTATGTTCTAAGTAGAAAAGAGAGCCTGGTGGCCTCACAGGGGCCTTGGCAGCCTAGTAATTCTGTATCATTTTCTGAACAAGTAATTTACTGTGTTTCTTCATTTATCTTGAATGGAAGAAATACTATATCCAAGATAAAGTCTCAGGTCTTTTTAACCTTAAAACTTAGGGAGATGCTGCTCCCTTCCCTGACCTGAGGCCCAGCTCACATTTCCCAAGACATTGTACCTTTTAAAGTAAATTGATATTTTACAAAGTGTTGATATTTTCAAATGCCTTGAGCCGCTTGTATTAGAAGCAAGTATTTCAGAAATGGCAGTGTGAGTGCTTAGGGATCTGTCTGCAAATACACACTACCGTGTCTCCAGAGCTGAGCTGCCACTATGTGGGTGACGCCACTGCATACCATTCAGAAATTTTAAACAGTGGTGTTTGTTAGCTCTCGCCAGTAATCCCAGGACTCAAGAGGCGGAGGCTGAAGGGGAGCCACAAGTTCCAGGCCAGCCAAGGCTATGTAGTAAAACCTTGTGTCAAAAAGAAAAACAAACAAAAGAAAGAAGCGACCTTTACTGAAAAGCACGGCTGTAAACTTGCAGTTTGGTGTACAGCACAGTCTGGATTGTATCGACTGTAGGAGCTCTAAAAGTCCAGCTTTGCCTCGGGCCAACTCACAGTCTGCACCTCGGTTGCCTCTGTGCTTGCTGACTCAGGTGAATAACTCTGGTTCTTCTTGTAGATTCTTTCACTCAGGAGTGCATGGAGGAGAAATCTTTCTTCTGCCGTGTCAGGTAAGTCCAGTGTCTTCCTAACCCAGAAAACAGTATGGAGGTTCCACCACCATACTGTGGTGGGAGGTTTGGGGGTATGTGCTCACCCCCCCTCCCCCACAACACACACTCTTGAGAGTGAGACCCAGACATAGCTTCTGCAGAGCCTGTATGAAAACCCGCTTAAACAAGTTACATGCTACTATGCAAAGGATGAGTCGGCCTGCTTTCCCCGACACTGAGCAGCTGTTGCTAAGGAAGACACTCCCCAGAGCCACGGCCCCAGGCAGTGCTTACAGCCCCAAATGTGCATCTGCATTTTTTTTCAGTTTTTTTCTTTTAATTTAAGTTTATTTACTTCACATCCCAAGGGCAGCCCCTCCCTCCCCTCCTCCCATTCCCCACCCACCTGTGCACCTGTGTTTCTTTGGTTAGGGTCACAGTGTTCCTTGCAGGCCCTGGGTGACTAAGACGTCTAGTTCAATGTCAGTGGTGGCCCTGTGGGGAACTGGGCCCAGAGTCAGAGTCTCTGAGGAAGCAACTTCCCTTTCCCAGTTGCTTTGACTAACTGGAAATTGCTCAAGAAAAAGGCAGTAAGGCCTTCTACTGCCCACTGTGTGGACTCTGACCATTGACCTTTCAATATGGGTCTGATGGAGAGGGCCTAAGGGTGAGCACTGGCTTCTCCAGTGGACACAGATGTGTGCTGGCTCTTGCATGGCCTAGGTTCCCACTAGAGGTTTTGCTGTGGCAATCTGACTGAGCATCCTTGGCATCTGGTACAGCAAAGGGAAGAATTGCTTAGCCCTAACAGATAGCCAGGAGCAGAGCTAGCTAGCAGCCCAAGTCCTTTTAGTACCTTGACCCTCACTAGCCTATCCTCTTCTCTCTACAGTGTTGGGAAACACCATGAGAATGAGATTCACTACCAGCCCTTCCGCATGACACCCTACCTGGTCAAGGTGCAGGAGCAGCAGGGTACCGAGAGCCAGCTCTGCTGCCTGCTTCTGGCAGAGAGGGTCCACTCGGGCTATGAAGGTACAGCCATGCCTGACCAGGGCTCGCTCAAGTTGGCCTGTACTTCTTGCCTGTAGTCCACACATGATGTGTAAAAGTGCCTAGCTGCTCATTGATCTTGGCTTCTCCCCAGCCCCATCAGTCTCCATCTTCCTGGAATTCAGCAAAATTCGCTTTGCTATCTGGCTCTGCCCACAGCAGCTGAAGCTGCTGTGTCCATTTCCATGCCCTCTCTCCCCTACCCTTGCTGGGCTGCACTTGTTCCACAAAGGAGCTCTGACAGGTCTGAGGCCCATATATCTCCCATCTTTGTCCTTCACCTTGCCTCTGCCTCGTGACATCTCAGTTCCCCCAGAACCCCTCTTACTCCTTCAGCCTCCAGTGCTGGGCCATCCTCGTTCCCGTGTTGGCTCATCCTGACTTCCATCTGGATTGCCTTTCTCCCAGCTTGTGGTTTCTGCTGACCATGGGTCTTGACCGTGCCCTTCCCTCTGCCTGGCTTTTCCTGTGGCTCAGCCTGAGGCCATCCAGCTATCCTGTCCCACCACTAAGGGCTCCTCAGGCCACCCTATCTCCTGATGATCAGGTTTTTCCCAAGGAGTCCAAGGGAAGCTGTGCTGTCCTGACTGCCTTCTTGGGATCCCTCTTAAACAACAGTTTTCTCATGCAGTGGTCCTTGTGCCTACTCCTGTCTGGAAGCTTTTGTTTTCTGTTAGTCAACTCAGGAGTTCCAGGACTTCTGATCCCCAGAGAGTAGCCTGAGCCTACCCCAGGAGCGTTTAGATTCCTTTCCTTGGAATCGAAATCTTTTGATTAGTCATGAAGGTTTTTTTTCTTTTTGTTTTTTGTTTTATTTTTTTTACAAAGTACTTCCTAAAAGTGATAGCAGTGTGTTCTAACATGATTTTTCTCTAACACAGTGATGTATCTCTGCATCCAGAACATTCTCTTCCAAATATTCATTAAGAATGTAGAGAGAGAGAACAAGTTGTTACCCCCAATTTACGAGTGTCCTTCAAGAACCAAAGATTTTAGAATTTGATAACTGGGGAAAACACTGGATGTATGACTTCCTGTGTGTGGAATGTATTGTCTTTGGCCACCCTGGACCATCAAGTTCTCCAGTGCAGTGGCAGTGGCACACTCTTAAGTCCAAACATGTAACTTATTTTTATAAAAGTAATTCTTTCAGGTCATGGTAGTTTCATCTCCTAAACCATGAAGGTGGTCTTTATGTCCTGTGTCCACGTGTCTCAGCTAGCATGGCCACTCCCATTGGTTCCCCAGAGAAGTTGAGGAGGTGCTGGTGGCCATCTGGTTGGGGCCTGCCCTGCTTTGAGCATGTCTGCTCTGTTGTTCAGTCTGCTTTCTCGTCCTCAATGGCTGCCCAATGAGAAACTCTCAATCCTTGTGGTTTTCCCTAGTCACTACAGAACCAGGCATTTCTTAGAAGTGAAAATTGTGTTCTTTCAGCCCCTAGAATTCCTCCTGAGAAGAGAATTTTCACAACAACCCATACACCGAACTGCTTGTTCCAGGCTGTGGATGAAAGGTGAGAAGTGGCCTCCCGCCGTCATTTGTCTGGGATCAGTGCTGTGTTTGTCATGCCATCAGATCCTAGGACAGACACTCAGTGCTTCCTCATCCTCTTGGCAACAAACAAAAAGAGAAAAACGACAACCAAAGAGAAAAAAGTTTTGCTTTTGACACCATTGCTGAAGACAAGGTTGCGTGTCATCTTTACCTACACGGCCGTCAGTGAAAGTGTGTGACTGTGCTGTTCTGCGATGCAGCACACTGTTGTGACCCATTACCCAGTGACATAATGCCATTCTGTGGCAGCACAGTACCACGGCTGTGCACAGTGCAGCACGTGCCTCGGCTTTGTGTATTTACCCTTGTCATTTTAGCAGGCGTCCCACTTTGTTGTCCAAGACAGGGTGTGTGGTGCCCGCAGCAGCCCGACACTTTGGGTACCCTGTGTTCTTCATTGCCATCAGCAGTCATGCCTGGTGGCCGACCTGTGCTGTGCGAGTTCGGCCTTGCTTGTCCGACACTACTTGTACAACAGAATTGGCTAGCGATGCGTTTCTCAGACCGTGTCTGGGCAGCACAGGATGTGTGACTGTATAAGCAATGAGGTAGTTTGGAATCACACTAACAAGTTCTAAGACCCAGTTGTGGTAGCTCACACTTGTCATTGGCACTGAGGAACCTGAGACAAGAGCCCTGGGAGTTCCAGATCCCACTTAAAAAAGAGGAGCACCGCCATGGGGTAGGCAGAGAGCCACATGCAGGAGGAGCTGGCATGCCCAGTTTCCATGCTCCCCAGTGGGAGCTGGTCCCCCAAGCCTGGGCAGGATCTCCCTCAGGCACTGAATTATCAGAGTAAAGATTTAAAGAAAATGAAAGCAAGAAAACAAATACCACAATTTATAAGAAATGAATGCTATAAATGGGGCTTCCTGGAAAGCTGGAGATTATTTCAGTTGAGCCTGCCTTTAGCACCCTGCTTAAAGTCTGTCTAGTAGGTGGGTGATCAAGGATGAGGTGCTGAGGGCCGATGCTGTTGGCAGGACCTCCACAGGAACCTCCAGAGTCCCTCCACTCCTTTTCTCAGCGAACTCCTCAGGCTTGTCTTACTGAGTCTGCTGTGGATGGTTCTAGAGCTGGTATGAGTGGTCCAGAGTGGATTCAGAAGTGCTCAGTTCTGGGAAGGTGTGCCTCCTCCCAGCTCTTTGATAGAGGCAGAGATGAAAATCAAATGACTATTAGGAGTGGTTTGGAGAAATGTGTCCTCAGAAAATACCACAGGAAGTGAACAGAGAAACAAATAACTCACCCCCTAGATCCTGGAGGACTAGTCCTCCTCCTCTGTCTCTCTGGCCAGGGACACAAGGGCTCCTCTTCTGAGCCACGTGACACTGCTCTGTGGGCAGCCAGAGACCTGCTGCCCTGGCCTAGGTAGAGAAAGACAGTATCAGATGCAGATCCCCGGGCTGAGTGTACAAAGAGGCTGCCATGGTGTCGTAGGCCTAAGGACCGTGTGCAGGCTCCCAGATGTTTTTGCTCCTGCTGTGAGGCAAGTAGGCAGGCCAGAGCCTGTGGGAAGCAGTCTGCAGAGTTGTGCCTAGTGAGTGGAACCTACAGGGTCCACCTTGGATACCTTCGGTCAGGGTCAGGCATAGAGCCTTTCCTCCTTAGCTTTGTTCCTCCTTCCTCCCTCTCCCTTTTCTTCTCCTCCTTCCCAACTCCTTCAACCTCTTTCCCTGTTACTCCTCCCCCGATCCTGCCAGCCAGGCTTGTATTGGGAGGGTGCCAGGAACATTCTGTACTCTGTCCCAAAGGAAACAGGAGGCCTCAGAGTGTGCCTCAGATACTGAGGATAAAGTCAGACTCTGAGAAAGTTCTGGTCTGAGGATTTGTGTAGAATGGCCTTCCACCTGAGGGGAGGGGAGTTTGAGGAAACATCTGCTGAGCTGCCTGGGTGTGGGGAAAGAGGAGGCAGCGAGCCACGCTAGATGCAGGTGGGCTGCTGGGGAGCCACCCCTGCAGTGACTAAGGACCACCTGAGAATACCAAGGGACCTACTCTTCACAGAGGCACAGGCGGGCACCCGGCACAGGATCCAGCCGGTCATGGGGACTCCTAGGGGAGCCACAGGAAATAACCGGACAGAGGGGTCAGAGTATCAGAAGGAAGACATTCTGACTTAGAAAAGAGCTTTCGCTCAAAAGCGGTTAAACAGAGGCTCATATCAAACTGATCCACATCAGAAGCTGATCAAAATTAGATCAGTGCATCGTGATATATTCTTTCAGGAGGTCAAACTCCAGGCTGTAGCTGACAGCCTCATCACCACCACACGCACAGGGATGCTGCAATCCTCACGAGCTGAAAGACTCACTGCCTCTGCTGGGTTTCCATCTGGGGGGATTTGGAGCCTGTCTGTCTCTGAATGAGGCTTCCTGGGATGGCCCTCCCTCTGAGTCTGCCAGCTCTGCCTGATGTGAGCATTCCATGCGCTGACCGCCATGTGTCCCTTGCCTTGCAGGGCGGTCCCCCTCTTGGGCTTTCTACCTCAGGACCTGATCGAGACACCCGTGCTCGTGCAGCTCCACCCCAGTGACCGGCCCTTGATGCTCGCCATTCACAAGAAGAGTAGGTGGCCATCTTTAAGCTCTGTGTGCTCTGGTGCTCGAAGGGGTCAGACCCACTGGGAATGCTGAGCCCTAGTGTCATCAGCCCTAGGTGGTCTAGAGAGAAGAAAACTCACAGATGGTCCTTGGCAACTCAGTTATAGTATTGGTGTCCGTGAATATGGGGAGACCAACTGCGCCTGGGGCAGGAAGGTTCTGAGCATCCTTGGGAGTAGACTGCATAGGACCCCTCGGAGTGGAGTCCTTGCGTGGGTAACACTGAGAGATTCGCATCCTGATATAGGGCATGAAACTGCGTCTGCTGGAAACTACCCCAGGTGGGATTTGAAGCAGACACAGGCATTTAAGGCAGAGACTTTGAGGAAGTGACCTTGGCCAGCTGTGTGTTTGTGTCCTTTCCCTCACACACCAGCCCTGAGACTCGTTTCTTACCCCCTAGTCCTACAGGCCGGCGGGCAGCCTTTCGACTATTCTCCCATTCGATTCCGCACCCGCAGTGGCGAGTACATCACGCTGGACACCAGCTGGTCCAGCTTCATCAACCCCTGGAGTAGGAAGATATCCTTCATCATCGGGAGGCACAAAGTCAGGGTGTGAGTGCTCCCAGGGTTCTACTCCAGTCTACTCTCACTTCCCACCAGCAGGGGTGAAGATGGGCCTTCTCCCTGTTGGGGAGCCCCTTGCTGATGGTTAAGAGATGACCCGCCCAGGTGGGAGGAGCTCATGCAGGCAGAGTTGTATGGCATCTGGAGGGTCTGTGGGTTAGGGATGGAGAGTCCAGCCCCAATGGGCAGTGTGGGTGCTTCTGATGAGACAAATTGAAATCATGCAGAGGCCCTTTGAATGAGGACGTGTTTGCAGCCTCCCCAGTCCCAGAAGAGAAGACTCCGCACCCCAGCGTTCAGGAACTCACAGAGCAGATCCACCGGCTGCTGATGCAGGTGGGTGTTCACCAGCTCTGCTCTGCTCTGCCTGTCCGCAGGGTCTGCCCAAGAAGGCCAAGTTTGCACATAGTTGACCTGAGAACTACCAAGCACCCTCAAGCTTTCCTAGACTTACAGTCATCCATGTCTCGGCCGTGACCTTGAGTGAAGAGTTGATACCTCACAGCCTATATACAGTCATGATAGGATTTCCACTGGTGTAAGGCTCACTCTTTCCCAGAACACCATCACCAGCACTGGGGACCAGTGACATCACCCTCCAGTAAAGTCAGTTTAAGTACAGTCACTCCCACTGCTGAGTATGTCCCATCTTGGTCATAGGACACAAAGTATAACTCTAGCTAATCAGTTTTATGTATTTTTTTAAATCTTGATAGATTGAAAAAGACCTGAGCTGTGCAATAATCAGCTGGTTGGTTGGGCATATTTTTTCTTTCTTTCTTTTAAAGATTTATTTATTATTTATGCAGTATTCTGTACTGCATGCCAGAAGAGGGCACCAGATCTCACTATAGATGGTCATGAGCCACCATGTGGTTGCTGGGAACTGAACTCAAGACCTTTGGAAGAACAGCCAGTGCGGTTAACCTCTGGACTATCTCTCCAGCCTGACCCCCCCCCCTTGGGTTTTCAAGACAGAGTCTCTCTGTGTAGCCTTGACTGTCTTAGAACTTGCTGTATAGACCAGGCTGGCCATGAACTCACAGAGATCTGCCTGCTTCTGCCTCCCAAGTGCTGGGATCCAAGGCGTGCATCATCACCACTACCACACAAACATGTTCCTTTTAGTGGGATCTCCTCAGTGGCTGCGTGCCAGAGGTCGGGACACTGAGGATGAAGGCCAGATGACACAGGGTTCAAGCTCCCCTCCCCACTTTCTGTCTGTGCTTGCCTTGTGATAACCTCTTCTATACCTTTCCATCATGTCCAGAGTGGTCTGTTTGCTCTTCCCCCAGCCTGTCCCCCACAGCGGCTCGAGTGGCTATGGGAGCCTGGGCAGTAACGGGTCCCACGAACACCTTATGAGCCAGACATCATCCAGCGACAGCAATGGTCACGAGGAGTCTCACCGGAGAAGATCCGTACGTCCCTCTCTGTTCCTTCTCCTGAGAAAGCAAGCCTAGCAGCGTGGGTCCTCCGTTAGAACGCATGATCAGAAGTAGCCGGAAAGGAGCTAAGGCTGGTGGCTCATTGCCTTCTCTTCCGGTTCAGGTCACCTGAGATTTGCTTCTTATTTCAAGTTGAAGCAGCTTTACTGTAGTTAAATACATAAAGGAAAATGACTTAGGTAGGCAGAGGAGCTGAAACAAAACTTTAACTGGAGTGCTGGTGTGGAAGTATCCGTGTTTCCTTCACTGTTTCAACCGTGGGGATCATGGGAGTTGTGCCTGGCTCCATCTGGCTCCTTGAGAGTTTCTGAACCTGGGTTGGAATGTAGTGGACACACTTCATGATGAGCACTTGCCCAGCATGTGCTCAGCCCAGGGTTCTACCCCAGAAGCACAAGCAGTTCCCTGAGTTACTCTCTTTGCTGCCCCCCCCCCCCCCGATGTTGGCTTGTCTGCCCTCACTGCGAAGGACGGGCAGATGAAAGTTTCCTAGAATGAATAACGTGTTCGTTATTGTTTTTCTTCAAGGGAATCTTTAAAACGGGTGGCAAGACTCAGACCAAAAGTCAGTTTTCTCATGAGTCTGGAGAGCAAAAGGAAACATCTGTTGCAGGTAAAAAAAAAAAACACAACATCATCTGAGGTCTTCCTGGAGCCCTCACTCTCGGGAGCTCTCACCTTGCTATAATTTATTTACACTTGCTCTACTTTTTAAAAAGAAAACAAGCCTGGTGCTGGTTTCGCACATCTTTATTCCTGGCACTAAGAAAGCAGAGGCAGGCAGATCTCTGTGAATTCAAGGTCAGCCTGGTCTACAAAGCAAGTCCAGGACAGCCAGAGCTACACAGAGAAACCCTGTCTCAAATGAAACAAAATAACAACAAAGAAACCCCATGTTCCTTTGCTTGTGGCTTAGGAAGCCCTGGCTTGCCTGGACTATTGCTCTGTTTGAGGGCTGGGAAGGTCACCTCTGAGTGTGCTTTACCGTGTCTTTGCTCAACAAAGAAGCAAGAGCTGCTCTGCTCTGTTTAACCAACAAGTGCAGATCCTGCTGTCCAGGAGGCCTTGTTACCCTGTGGACCACTAGGACATGGAGTATGTTTCCGTTCCCCAGGTTCTGCCTACTGAATGCATTGGGAGCCGAGGCCACAGGGGTATCATCTCCTCCCTCTGCAGAATAGCCTTGTGACCATGTGCTCACATTTCATGCACATACAAACTAGAACCTGCATGCACATCTGTGCACACACACAGCTGCCTCAGCGGAGCACCCTGGTGCCTGCAGTTCTCTAAACCAGACCTATCAACAGTGGATAGTGAGGTGCTGGGGGTGGAGCTGTAGCAGTGAATAAGATAGAGCTCTTTGCTCAGCGTCCCTGAGGAAGGCAGGCACGGGCTTCCCGTGGTGCGCATGTAAACGCGTGAAGGAAAATGACTTAGGTGGACAGAGGAGCTGGAACAAAACTCACAGCCGCTGCCCCGGCAGCCATTGCCGTATGATTGTTGTCTTCCTAAGTTGTGCTTGAAAACTGGCCCTGGTGGTTTGAGCCTTGGGACCTTTCTGCCCTAGGTACTAAAGCAGAAAGATTACAAATTCAAAGCAAGCCTAGGTTACATAGTTTAAGGCCAGCCTGCCTCCTGGGTGACTTAGTGAGACCCTATCTCAAAACAAACAAACAAACAAAAAATCCAGGTGCAGTGGCGCACACCTTTGATCCTAGTGCTTGAGAGGTGGAAATAGGCAGATCTCTGTGAACTCAAAGTCAGCCTGGTTACATAACAAGTTCCAGGCCAGTCAGAGCTACATAGTGAGACTTTGTCTCTAAATGAATAAATAAATATCTAATGGTGGACAGGCTACAAAGATAGTTCATGGAAGAGGTCTTGGGCTGAACATGCAAGCCCGTTTTCAGTCTAGCCTGCCCTGCTTGGTAGGATAAGACAGCTGAGCTCTGGTCGCCCACAAAGTTCAAGATATTAAGACCCACCCTTAGGGCTGGAGAGATGGCCCAGTGGTTAAGAGCACTGTCTGCTCTTCCAAAGGACACAGGTTCAATTCCCAGCAACCACATGGCAGCTCACAACTCTCTGTAATGCTAATTCCAAGGGATCTGACACCTTCACACAAAAGTAATGCATATAAAATTAAGTGTTAAGAAAACAAGACTCATCCTCTTCCACCCTGAGCTCTGAGGCCTGAGAACGGCTGTGTCAAGCCCAGCCCAGCACACCTTGTCTGGGTGACAGTTCCCACTCAGAAGCACTTCAGCTGTCACCTTCGCCTGACAGGGGTCCCGTATCTGTACATTCTGAATCCTTATCTCTGTCTTTGAGCAGAATAAAATGTTTTATAAGTATGGATTGTTTTCTTTTGGCAGATATAAGGTAAAATGTGTTTGTTTTTTCCAGAAATGCAAAGCAGTCCCCCATCGCAAGTGAAAGCTGTTACCACCATAGAGAGGGGCAGCTCAGGGGCCAGCTTACCCATGGCCAGCTTCCCAGAGGAGCTAGCCTATAAGAACCAGCCTCCTTGCTCCTACCAGCAGATCAGCTGCCTGGATGGTGTCATCAGGTACACAGAGCACTTCTGAGCTTCCCTCCATCGGTGTCACCCACGTCTTCCCAGCCACATGACGCCTTCCACCCCTCATGCAGGTACCTGGAGAGCTGCAGCGAGGCTGCCACCCTGAAAAGGAAGTGCGAGTTCCCAGCCAACATCCCGTCCCGGAAGGCCACGGTCAGCCCTGGGCTGCACTCAGGAGGTATGCTTTCCATTCTGAACCGTGATCTGTGACCCCTTAATCTCCTGTGTGGAGCCAGAAGTTATCACCAGCCCTCTTGTGTCCCTTCTTCTTTGCTCATTGATTTTCACAGGTTTGTAAGTACACCATGGAAGGTTTTAAATGACTATCTGGAAAGTCAGTAAATACCCTTATTTACAGGTCAAGGGGATGTCTAGACTCAGAGTACTAAGCTCTAAAGCAGAGGCCTGGGAAGCATGCTGGTGGCAGGGGACAGCCCTGAGCTCCTGTGCTCCCTCCCATGGCTGTGCTAGCCTCAGTGGTTCTGGTGCGGGTCCTCCTAGTCTGTCTGGGAGTCCTCACCAGTGAGTATTAACATGCCCTGTGGCCATCTGAAAGCTCAGGCTGCTTAAGCACTGTGAATCATGACCAGGGTCAGAAAGGAATCTCACTGACTATCATGGCTCACGCCTGTCATCTCAAGGAAGAGGATGCGGAGTTGGAGGTCAGCCTGGGCTACACAGTAAGACTTTTTGTCTTGGAAAAAAAGATACAAAAAGAAAAAGAAACAGGGCTGGTAAGATGGCTGAGTGTGTAAAGGTGGGGGCTGTGTAAACCTGAATGCAGTCCCAGATCCTATGCAGAGGCCAAGGGGGAGAACTGGCTCCACGTGCATTTTGCACGTGTCCATACACAAACAACAACAGTAATGATCATAATAATAATGGAATGTTAAAGAAGAAATGGGCTATCCCATTTATTAAAGCACCAGGAAGTAGACAGTCATGCAAGGAAGAGCATGAACATCCCAGAGTACCCGCTTTCTGCTTATTGGGGAAGTCCCTGCTACACACCAGAGGACCCTGGCTCAGCATGACCCACAGCCATCTAGATCAGGGATTCCCGCTCAGCCTTCTTAATGCTGCGACCCTTTAATACAGTTCCTCATGTTGTGGGTGAATCTCAACCATAAAATTATTTTTGTTGCTACTTCATAACTGTAATTTTGCTATTGTTATGAATCATAATTAAATATCTGTGTTTTCTGATGGTCTTAGGCAACCCCTGGGAGAGGTCATACCCAAAGGGGTCTCAACCCAGAGGTTGAGACTCATTGGTTTAGGTGCTTCTTTCCCAGAGGTCCTGGGCTCTGAGTGTGAAGTTCACATTGCTCCAGCTCCCAGAATCAAGCATCTGTGGGGTGGGTGCAGCCAGCATGGGCCTGGTAGGCCCCTTGAATGTCCAGCTCCCAGGCTGGACAGTGGCTTTAATCCCACAGGTTCGCTTCTGTTTTTCTCTCATCCAGAGGCAGTGCGGCCCTCCAAGGTGACCAGCCACCCAGAGGTCAGCGCTCACTTGAGCTCCCTGGCGCTGCCCGGCAAAGCCGAGAGTGTGGTGTCTCTCACCAGCCAGTGCAGCTACAGCAGCACCATCGTCCACGTGGGCGACAAAAAGCCGCAGCCGGAATTAGGTACGCCAGAGGGCCTTGGGGAACACCAGCAGCAATCTGAGTTTTAACAAGAAACTTTGGAAAGTGGGGAGATGGTTCGGTGGAGAAGAGCATGTGCCGAGCAAGCGTGAGAACCTGGGTTCACATCCTGAGCACCCACATAAAAAGGGGGCCATGGTCAAGGGCATGCCTGTGACTTGAGGGTGGAGATGAGGGTCACCTGAGCCAGTGGGCCTCCAGCCTAGCTCTGGGCCCAACGAGCGACCTTGACTCTCAAAGGAAGGTGGACAGAAGTAGAGCAGAACACCTGCCATCCTCTTCTGGCTTGACTGTGCAGACTCACAAACACACACACACTATATGCTTGCATGGGCACTTAAAATTCAGAGGTGGGGTGAGACCAGCTAGGGACAAGTCCCTGTGGTGCTCGGGCGCCACCTGGTGGCGGTTTGCCTACCTTCCTTGGCTTGGGGCCTTTTCTTTGTCCAGCCTTGCCCCCTACCAAAAGGTGAGGCTAGCAGTTACTCCTCCATAGGGAAAAGAGCCAGATCACATTGTAAGAAGACTGATCATGGCTGCGGTCTCTTAATGAGACAAAGTGTTGGGGCTGGGGAGATGGGTCAGTTGGTAATGTGCTTGCTGAGCAAACATGAGCATCTGGGTCCTGTCCCTGACACCCACATAGAGCTCAGGCGCAGTGGCCTCCATCTATGGTTCATGCACCAGGGAATTGGAGACGGGGATTCCTGGAGCTCAGTGGCCAGTCAGTTTAACTAAGTTGGTGAACTCCAGGTTCCATGAGAAAGACTATCTCAAAAAGTAAGGTGGAGAGCAATGGAGGAAGACAGTCTGCTGTGTGGACCTCTGCATCCTCATCTGCATCTATAGACATCTCTCTATATGCACACGTGTGTACTTGATTGCACGCTCAGAGTCACGCCCACGAACACATACACAGTAAATTACAAGCCTGTTCTTTACTGGAAGGAAGGAAATGATAAGAAGCACCATACCTCTGAGACTCAACTCCCAAGTGTTTGGCCAACATGCTCTGACCTCTCTGCTCCATAGAGCACATAGTTACAGGAGCCACCATATATGGTCCTGAGCCCTGGAAGATGCAGGGCCTGTCACTTGTATGCCAAAGCTGAGGGCAGCTTTGGAATGTCTTCAGGCCCAGAAAGTAAGCCCACTGCTCCCAGTTTCCCGTTGCTCATAGGGCCAACACCTGACTCAGTGATTCTGCTTACTGCCTTCTGCCTGGGACTTCCTTGGAAACTGAAGCGAGCATGGAGAATGTTGCCCCTAGTTATGGGCATCATGAATCAGCTGGGTGTGAATTGTCTGTACAGTAGGTTGCACTGACAAGCACATGCTGATCAGAGCCCGCTTCTTGTTGCAGAGACAGTAGAAGATGTGGCCAGTGGGCCTGAGTCCCTGGACAGTGCCGCTGGTGGCCTCAGCCAGGAAAAGGGACCTCTGCAGAAGCTGGGCCTCACCAAAGAAGTTCTGGCCGCACATACACAGAGGGAGGAACAGGGCTTCCTGCAGAGGTTCAGGGAGGTGAGCAGGCTCAGTGCCCTGCAGGCTCACTGCCAGAACTATCTTCAGGAGAGGTCCCGAGCCCAGGCGAGCGAGCGAGGTGAGTGCTGACCTGAACGAAGCATGCATTTTCTAAGCACTCTGTTCTTCTTGAAGACAGTGATACTGGCCTTGTACTCACACCAGTCTCCTTACCTCAGCCTTCCTAGTGCTAGGATTACAGGTGTGGGCCACCCGGCCTGGCTCAACACTGTCCTGGAGAGGCCTGCATCCAGTGCTGTCCAGGTTGAAGGTGTTCGTGTGGGGTAACCACTGCCTCTTTGCTGGCCGTGCAGCCTGGGAACACTTTTGAGGACACAGCCTTATGCTCCCATGGGAACAGTGTGGTAAACAGTTGTGAAGCACCAGGATAGCTTCAGCAGTTTGTTGGGGCTTTTGTCCATACCCTGGGTTGGGACCCTGGGGTAAAAAAAGTAAGTTCAGTCTTCAAATAATGTGCGTAGTGCTGTGGGACCTTTAGCAGTCAGCTCTTGGGAGTAGAGGGATGACTTTCTCCTTTCAGCAGACTCACCCTGCTGGCCTGGTGCTGCCCTGTGGACCCAAACCTCAGCCAAACTGTTAGCAGAAAACTATTCTTTGGGCCCGTAATCCCAGGGTGGTTATGTTCAGGAATGAAATAAGATCCATTAGTTTCTTGAGGGCTTTCTGTTCCAGGAGCCTGGTTCTTGAGTCTGACCACCTGTCCACACACTCACAATGGCTCAACCCACACACTCACCTGGCTCCTAAGCCCTGCCTTTCTGTACCCAAGAGGCAGTGGCCACACTGGCCAGAGATACCAGGTCTTCTCTTGGCTCTGGAACTCTGATCCAGGATCACAGCTATCGAGCCCAGGAGACCAGCAGGACCAGCCCCACAGACACACTGAAGGGAACTGAGGAAACTATGACCTCTTGTCCATCTTTCTTACTTTCTTTTGAAGGTAGGGATTGAACCAGAGTCTTGAGCGAGCATCCTGCTCTGCTTCTGAGCGACATACCCAGCCAGGGTGTCTCCTCCACTCTTTGTTCTCACTCTGTTTCCCCGACTCAGCATTGCCACACACAGGAACCCAGTGGAGATGAAAGGAGGGTGCCCACCCCGATCCCAAGCAGACCCACGTGTGCATAGTTCCAGCTCCCACACAGCCAGAGCCAGCGGTGTGTGCAGACATGGATCACACAACGTCCGGGGCAGTCCTGACAGTCGGTGCACTTAGCCACGGTTCGTGCCTCTGAGGGAAGGCTTCCCAGGAGGAAAGACAGCAAAGAGAGACAGAATCTTAAAACCTTCCCAGGAAGAGCAGGTGTGCTTGGACTGGGCTGTTTGTCTCAAAGTGCAATAAAGGTGTCCCACCTACCTTGGCAAGAGCTCACAGATGGCCCCTGAAGAGCTTTTGGCCTTAGGCTCGTTATTTTGCTGAAATGGGACGAAAACAGGCTCCTGGGCTGCTCCGCAGGAAGGCAGTGGGATATGCAGAGTTCTTCCTCTCACAGTCGCTTCCCTCATCCTCATGACCAAAAGCCCCAGCAGTGGCCTTGGTGACAAGGGCTATTGCGACTATTGGTCAACTTTCCATCGCTATGACAAAATACCTAAGAGGACCAACTTATAAGGAGAAAATGTCTATTTGGGGTCACAATTTTAAAGGTTTCTGGCCACAGTTGCTTAGCCCTGTTTGGGGCAAAGCAGCAATCCACAGCAGGAGACAGTGACTGTAAAGCTGACCACCTCACAGAGGCCAGGAAGTGTGTCCAGTGTCTTAGGGCGTGCCTTCAACAAGCCCGGCTTCCTCCCAGCTAGGCCCCACCTTCTAAAGGCTCCACCTCCCGCCCTCAGCCAGGGCCAGCAACTACGCCTTGAGCATGGACTTTGAGGGGTGCTCCAGACCCTGGCTGCAGTTGCTCCTCAGCAATCCTGTGACAGGTGGAGCATCAGCATCTCGTTAGGGAACGGTAGTGGTAGTGGTAGGGTCCATTTAGGGTCTGTATGCCAAGATGTATCTTTTCTAAATATCAAGTAATAGCAGAGAGTGGAGGGTTTTTGTTTTTTTTTTTTCCTATTTAATTTTGGACAAAGAATCATTTTGATTACTGCTTTTTGAGACTTCTATAAACTGTCTAGTTTATGCTCACCGCCTTACGCCCGCTCGGGTCTACCCTACCCCACCTTCATGTCCTCTCAGGGTCTCATCTGTGCGCCCGTGGTCGTGCACGGCTGCACGGCTTCACGGCTTCACCGCTGGTAATGCTCCCCGCAGCAGCCTACAAAGCACCTTTTAGTACTGTGAAAGCCAGGCAGCAGGGAGGAAGTTTCCTCATCCACCGTAACTAGATTTCTCAATGGACGAAGGACACATAAGGCCCTACAAGAAAGAGGACATGGGACTTACGAGAGAGAAATGGAGGAATATGACCTTGTAATTAAAGGTGCACCTTCAGGTGATAGAATTCGGTTTTATGAAAACCTGCCATTTTACTTGAGTTCCTCTCAGTGGACATGGATTGGGGAAAAGTGGTTGTTATACCAGGGGCTGAGAGGTATCATCAGCTGTTTGGCAGTCTACATTCTCTGTGAGCTGACACACTAGGGCTTGCAGTCACTTTTTTTTTTTTTTCTTTTTTAAAGATTTATTTATTTGTTATTTATACAGCACCTTGCCTGCGTGTGTGCCTGACCACCAGAAGAAGGCACCGGATCTCACCATAGATGGTCATGAGCCACCATGTAGTTGCTGGGAATTGAACTCAGAACCTTTGGAAGAGCAGCCAGTGTTCTTAACCTCCGAGCCATCCTCTAGTTCCACTTCTTAATTTTTAATTCTAGCTGTTTTGCCACATTTCAGCTACCCCAGGACTAAGAAATACTTCTGGAATAGAATCATCTTGGAGAAAAACTGGAAAGAGCAGAAAACTGAAATCCAAGCGCGTCAAGACTCGAGACTCCTCTGAGAGCACAGGATCTGGGGGTCCTGTGTCCCACCGACCTCCCCTCGTGGGCCTGAATGCCACAGCCTGGTCACCCTCCGACACATCCCAGTCCAGCTGCCCCTCCGCACCGTTCCCTGCCCCAGTGCCGGCTTACCCTCTGCCCGTGTTCCAGGCACCGGGAGTGGTATCCACACCAGGGGCTGTCGTGGCGCCACCTGCGGCTGCCCACTCGGGCTTCACGGTGCCTGTTGTGCCTGTGGGCACCCAGCCTGAATTCGCGCTGCAGCCCCTTCCGTTTGCTGCCCCCTTGGCTCCAGTCGTGGCCTTCATGCTACCCAGCTACCCCTTCCCCCCGGCCACCCCAAACCTGCCTCAGGCCTTCTTCCCCAGCCAGCCTCACTTCCCAGCCCACCCCACGGCTGCCTCCGAAGTAGCTTCCGCCTCCCAGGCTGAGTTCCCCGCTCGGACCTCAACGCTCAGACAGCCATGCACTTGTCCAGCCACCCCGCCGGCAGGCACAGTGGCCTCAGGCAGGGCCTCCCCACCACTCTTCCAGTCCCGAGGCAGCAGTCCCCTGCAGCTTAACCTGCTTCAGCTAGAGGAGGCCCCTGAAGGTAGCACTGGAGCCGTGGGGACCTTGGGGACTACAGCGACAACAGCTTCTGGTCTGGACTGTACTTCTGGCTCTTCTCGGGATCGGCAGCCAAAGGCACCTCCAACAGTAAGAATTCTCTGTTGTGCCTCCTTCCTGGTAGGCAGAGGCGCTACCATGGCGGTAAGCGCACACCCTCCTGTCAGAGGGGCTGCAAGCTGAATGATTCCTGCCAGCCTCGAGGCCTGGGTTCAGCCTCCAATGTTTCTTCTGAAATGTGCACTTGATGGTTCTGAGGTCCTACCATGGAACATTATTTGGAGCTCTGTGAGGAGAAATTGAGGATGACAGATGAAGTAAATGAGACCAGTGATAGTTTGTCGCTTTGGGGAGCATTTGTGGGCCTCGCTTTTTTCTTTTGGTTTTCTAAGACAGTGTTTCTCTGTGTGGCCCTGGCTATCTTGGAACTTGCTCTGTAGACCAGGCTAGCCTTGAAACTCACAGAAATCTGTCTCTCTCTGCCTCCCAAATGCTGGGATCAAAGGTGCCCACTACTGCCACCCAGATAGGCCTCACATTTCTAAAGACTCTTAAAAAAATTCTTTTTTTTTTTTGAGAGTCTTATTCTATCCTTCGCTGCCCTGGAACTTGCTGTGTAGACCAGATTGGACTCAAATTCACAGAGCTCTGCCCGCCTCAACTCTTGAGTTGAGGGATTGAAGACATGTCCTTGTCTGGCTAGCCTTCAAAGTTTAAGAAGCCCAGCTTGGGAAAGAGGGACAGGCGCTGGCCTTCAGTGGCCAGGAACCTGCCTGCCTGCAGGCCCATGGCGCTCATAAGGATGAGAGAAGACTGCTGATTTTGGCTCAGAAGCCAGGGTTCCCTGGTGTTTGTCCCTAAGAGCCTTAAGGATGGTGCGAAGGGTTCTTCTCCAGTTGATGGTTTCTAAAAGAGCTAGCTATGCCATAGCAGCAGCCCTGTGCTCTGTGTGGCAGGAGCTGGGGGTGACTGCCTTTGCAAGGTGCCAGGGCTGCTGCTCAGAACGAGAGGCCATAGAGCGGGCATCGGTTCTCCCAGAGCCTCTCTGCCCTCCAAGACACTAGGGCCCCAGACTTCCTAAGCCAAGAAGCCCCACTGGGCTCAGAGCCTCAATCAGGGGGTGCCCGGGAGGCTGAAGAGCATCATGGCAATATTTCATGCTGGAGTCCAAGCCCTGCCATCTGCTGTGACTCCCAAAGTCACATTTTATTGGGTGATATTCCTAGAGTACCAACTACTCCTTCCCCATAACTGCAAAATCTGCTCACCTGATAGACAGAGGAAAGGCTTGTTCTCTGTGACTGATCTCCGTGCAAAAGCCACCCATTGCTCTCCCTTGGTTCCATCCTACCTTATTGAGTGTTGTGTGCTGTGTTGTCCCTATAAGCCCCTGTGATCAGCAGTGCTTTTTTCCTGTCCCTAAAGTGCAATGAACCCTCAGACACCCAGAACAGTGATGCCATTTCCACATCCAGTGACCTGCTCAACCTCCTGCTGGGTGAGGACCTCTGCTCTGCCACTGGCTCAGCACTGTCTAGAAGTGGGGCATCTGCCACCTCAGACTCTCTGGGCTCCAGCTCGCTGGGCTGCGATGCATCCCGAAGCGGGGCAGGTATGTTTGTGCTGAGGGCACAGGTGTGTGCTAGCCAGTGTCTAGTGAGTCTCACAGAGTGTCCTGTCCCCACCATTCTGCATGGATACAACTTCTCCTGCCCTGCATAGCAGGGCCTAGCCATCAGAATTCAGAGTCCTATCTGTTCGCTTCCAGTCTCTGTGCCAATGAAGATGTTACATTCATGCCAGCCTTTGCTGGGCAGTCCGTGGGTCTCCTGGGCATTGGGCACACATGTACAGACACAACCAACCATCAGACTTCTACTGGCAAGGGTCAGCCACGTATGCCCTTAGGCGTCCAGGGCAAGGCTACCCTCAAACCTCAAAAAGATACCTTTTCTGCCCTAAAGTGACCTTTCCCTAACCTGCTCAGAGGCCTCTTCCCAGTGGGCATGAATCAGGCCAGCAGCCTCCCACTTAGGACACTCCTGTCGGTTTCTAAAAATGGATCTGTTTCCAGAGTCAACAGACAGAACTGGGGACAAAGGTCAGGGCTCCAAGACTAGGCCCGGCCTGAGCTCAGGTTCACCCCAGGAGAGAATCACCTCCATGGTGCCGGGAGACATCCTGTGTTCTGAACCCTTCAGATCATTAAGAGTGGAAAGCAGAGGGGAAGGTGGGCCAGCACAGCAGGTCTTTACCTAAGGAATCCTGCTCTCCAGATCTGCCTGATGTCAGGGTTATAATGATCTGTGTTTCATGTATTTGAAGGCAGTAGTGACACAAGCCACACCAGCAAATACTTTGGAAGCATTGACTCTTCGGAGAACAATCACAAAGCGAAAATGATCACAGACACGGAAGAAAGTGAGCAGTTGATTAAGTACGTCTTGCAGGACCCCATCTGGTTGCTGATGGCCAACACAGATGACAGCATCATGATGACATACCAGCTGCCCTCCCGGTAACCGCTGTATTTCCTGGGAAGCCTAGAGGGCTGGGTAGGAGGTTCTGGTGCCAAGGTCATCCATGCAGCCAGGATGTCCCATGGAACATTGTGTAAACTTGGCAGAGACAGTGGAGAGAAACGAAGCTTTTCCATGGTGGCTCTACCGGGCCTGCAGCAGCCTGCCTCAGCCTGCCTACTGCCCTGAGGCAGTTAGAACCCTGGAGACCAACCTCTTACAGCAGCACACCCCGCTTTTGCCATACAGTTGGTACAGTGTTACCCCCTTGAGCTGTTACCTCACTCAGCTTAGGGGTAAATCAGATATGTGTCTGAGTTAAAAAAAAAAAAAAAAAAAAAAAAGTCAAGGTGGGTGATCAGCCCATGTCTATGGTAACCCTGAGCCTGCCCAGGTTCTGAGTGCAGGTCAGGCTTCACTCTGAAGCTGGTAAGGTCACTGCCTTTGCAGAGAAGACCTAGTCAGGGGGTTAGGAGAAAGGAGGAGGAATCCCTGAGATTCCTGAAGGCAGTGGACCTCTGGTCAGTGAAGCAGGAGGATTGTGGGGATCCTTAGGCCTCAGGTGGGAAACAGCTGTGGTCCAGGCCAGTTCTGTCCCAGGAGAGAGTCAATGTGACCCCAGACTCTGGGAAGTTAAGTGTGACCACACAGCCACCTGAAGAGGCCAGGCTCCCACAGCTAGCTTCAAGAAAAACTGACATTGTGACCTTGGTTATCTTAAAGACTAAAGAATATTTACTAGAGAGATCAAGTTACCTTAAGTAAAAGAATTTATCTTGAGGTTAATCCTTTACTACATGATTGAAATTGAATAGCTTGGCAGAAAGTGAGTGTCCTGCCCCTTTGGCCTGTGGCACTTACCTGCACCTAACTCTTCATGAAGGGATCTCCAGGAGGTCTTGAAAGAGGACCGCGAGAAACTGAAGCTGCTGCAGAGGTCCCAGCCCCAGTTCACAGAGAGCCAAAGGCGAGAGCTTCGAGAGGTTCATCCCTGGGTCCAGACTGGGGGTCTGCCTGCGGCCATTGACGTGACGGTGAGCTTACAGAACCTTCCCTCACCTGTCATCGCAGCCCTTGGGAGACTGAAACAGGAGGCTTACAAGTCTGAGTCTAGTCTGGCTCCATAGGGCATCCCATCACAACAAAAGGAAAATTCTAGGACCCTTAGGTGCGATTTCTTCCAAAGGTTTAAGCGGCTGGCCTGAAGAGCTCGCTGAAGGGAGTGGCTTCCCATGCTACCATTCAGATTTCTGTTTAGCAGCACAGACATATCTCTGAACACCCTGCTCTTCCTGCCATGGCCCCTGGCTGGGCCTTAGAATTCCAGAACCCTGTTGCTCCCCAAGCCTCTGCTGCCATCTGCAGGCAGTGCTGCCCCACTGCAGTCCAGTGGCAGGAAGGCAGCCACCCTCATCTCCAGGCCAGGGCTCTCAGTCTACAGATGCTAAGCACCACACCAACTCCCAGGCACCAGGAATCCCCTCTGGCCTCCAAGTTCCCAATACTCAGCATGTTGATCATTCCCCCCCCCCCCCCCCCCCGACTACTGACTACAGCTGGGGAACACTAGCTGTGTCAATGTCCGCCCTTCTCAGCTCACTGGATTGATAACTTTCCAGGCTGCTAGCCTTGGGGCCATCCAGCCTGCCTCTCCTACTCCATCTGGTCATTAGCAGATCACACCACCCATCCTTAAAAGGTAGACAGAAGCCACTGTTGACCAGCCTCAGCGTGTCCCCCTGAAGGCCCAATCTTAGCAGTCACACTTCCCAAGTCTCAAGGAGAGGGAAGGGAGGCCCTCCACCTGTAGAGGGAGGAGTGGCCTGGGCGAGGACTACCGTCCTTTGGCCTCCCGCTGTTGTCCTTCACACTCACATACCCTCTTCCACTTGAGCATATGCCACGGAAGACTTGACGACAGCCACAGGAAGGAGACCAGAGCCAGCTCCCCGAGGCAGGGAATGCCCTTCCAGCCAGCAGCCTCAGGTGCATGGCTGCCATCCCCCCCCCCCCACCTTTCTCAGTGTGGGTGGCAGTGAAGAGTCCAGCCTCTTTTTTTCTTACTAATGTCACCTATTTTCTTTGAAGGGGTGTGCTTACTGTGAAAGTGAGGGGAAAGGCAACATTTGCCTGCCATATGAGGAAGACAGTCCTTCCCTGGGACTCAGTGATACCTCAGAAGCCAAAGAGGAGGAAAGTAGACAGCTGACAAGCCCCAAGAAGGAGGCGCAGACGTAACCCTGTCCCCAGCCAGTGACCTACGTTAGACGGTGCTCGGAAGAGACGGAAGATCTTCTCATTGTTTCTAATGAAATGGACACGTACTTACATTGCTTTTTTGTTTTAGAAAAAAAAAAAAAAAAACACCATAGTTTCCTGAAGGTTAATGAAACTGCAGGGAGATTTAGGAGGAAATACATTTTTGTATTAAAATATATATATAAATATGGGATTTGCCAGACGATGAGGTGCGATCGGTCATTGAATGTGAAGGAGACTGAGGTGATCTGTGTGTCACGGAGGTTGCCTCGGGGCCTCAGAAGTCCTTTGACCTCAGTGAGACCTCTTCCCAGTGTACCAGGGCCCTCTGGCCCCTCTGGGTGGCCTGAGGCGTCACACTGGGATGTGACATGTAGCCACGCGAGGCTCTCAGCCAAGGGCTGGTCTTTCCGGAGCTTTGCCGTGGTGTGCTTTCTAATCTAGATTATCACGCAGTCCTGCGAGTGTTCACATACCAAGTGGAGAGATCGCCTCTCCTGACGTCCGCTCGGTGTTCCGCTGTGTGGTTTGGAGCATGGTGTGGCAGCTGTAGCTTTAGGTCCTGTAGCGGCCAACATTCCAGTCTGACGTGGCTTCTGTTCATAAGCAAAGTTGAAATGCCTGCTCTGGCCTAGTGGAGACTAGTGGTTTCTGTGACTGCCGCCATCAGACTAGCACCCTACACACACTGTACATTTCTGTGCCATTCTTGCATTCTCTTTAGACCATCATGGCCAGTGTGTAGAGAGATTAAAAAATAAATAAAAATATCCCAGGAAGTGGAGATACCAATTTGCAGTATCAGCCATGTCACCCTGTCTTCATGGTGGCCTCTGCTGACCAGGCTTTGTTGCTGTGGGAACACATCATATGTGCTCTTCGGTTGGAATCTCCCAGAAATCAGCTCCCAGCAGAGAGCAGCCGCTGAACATGAGGAAGGGGCAGTGAGCCACACTGCCACCCTCAGTGTTTTCCAGTTTGCAGGGAGCTCAGCCTCCCACTGTATTTCTGGTGGGCTCCTTAGCCCCCATGACTTCAGGACTCTGTCACATCTGTCTGTGCTGCTGGCCCTCAGAACCCCTGGGGAGAAGGAGACTTCTCTGCCCAGCTCTACAAAACCTTATGCTGCACCAGACATCCAAAGATTATTCCGACATGCTTACTGGTGACCCCTGGTGGAATGAGAAGTCCGCAGTGGGGAGTCATTTGCCCTGAAAGTGCAGAGTCTGGAACGGAGGAAGCAGAGTCCCTGAGTCTGAAGCGGCTACTGGAAAGATGGCTTCCTGCAATTGGTTTTCAGAGTGAAGCCACCAGAGGCCTGAATACTAACCCTATTTTTCATAAACACGAGACTCTTTTTTTATTACCATTAAAGCAACGCCACCTTTCACTGTGAGAAGGTGGTAGCCATGTTTTAACAGAAATTCAATGTTACAAATAGCTGCCTCCCTCGCCAGTGGGATCCTAAGGGTAGATAAATGATGGTCTAAGCCTACGCTTGTTACTTAAACACAAAACTGCCAAAACCTTCTCTCTACTATCTCGAATGTTTACCATCAGCATTATTTTATGATTATTTAATATATATTCCTTGATTGTTAACTGCTAAGAAGTTGACTTCCTAGGATAATTTCGTGAATCTGTTTACAAGATGCCGAGCATCCAGTCCTGTTTTCTGTAGAATGTGTGCTTACACGGGTGTCCTGAGATTTTCTCTATTTTAAACTGAGCCGCCTTTTTAATGTAAATAAGCTCTCAGAGTTTGTGCGATGATTTGTGAGCCTTGCCGGACAAGCGGTTTGCTCATGCGCAAACCAAACGTACCTTAACCCAGTGCAATATATTTGTGTGACTGCTTGTGTCTTTTTATGACTTTTTTGCCTTTTAGAAAATTGTTAAATAAAGCAGGTATATTTTTATTTTCAATTGTACACTTCTCTGTTGTGGTTGTGGGGGTGCAACACAAGACTGCATGTAAGTTAGCATGTACTCTACCACTGACCTATACCCTAGCACTGTGTATATTTTTAACGTAACATAGACCAGCAAACCAAATAGAATTATTAAAAAAAATGTTGAAGAACTTCAAAAATGTTACATTAGGAACTCTTCAGTCCCAAAAGCCAACTGATCACTTCCCTTGCACAGTGTTCTTTCTTTGCTGGCTCAGCTCCTATCTGTGTCTCCCACATGCTCAACCTCCCTGACCCATTCAAGCTCTACAGGAATTTCCCATCATGCAAATCTAGCCAGGCATCCTGAGCCCTTTCACTTGATGGCCTTTCACCTGCACATGGTTGCTTAGCAGATCCACTGGGCGATTCTCAGCACCCACTCTCCCATTAAGCCTGCCTTCAGGCACCGTGCTAGAAAAAAGACTTCCATACCCTTAGGAGCACTGAGTAGGCATCAGTGGTAGCAGAGGCCTCCTACCCTGGGCCTTCTGATTGACAGCCTTGTGAGACTACTCTGAAGAGGTCTGCTTTCCTTTCCTCTCTCCAAAGCAGGGTCCCAGGGACCTAAGAAGGGCAACATGACGCTGGCCTCATGCTCAGCTGGGAGCTCTGAATCTTTAGTCTTGCCTTCGAGTGCTGACGCAGCAGTCTGAAGGTTCTCCGGGCAGGTGTGGCTGTTTTACTGAGCACCTTTGGAGCTCTGTAATTACGCTTTGCTGTGTACCTCGAAGGCCTGCTCCTCTCCTTTTCCAAACCAAAAGGAAATTCAGAGTCTCCTGGGCAGATTGCCCACAAAGTGCTTGGATGTCTGCAGGCTGGCAGCTTGTCTTTGTCCCATTGGGGATTTATGGCCTGTTGTTTCTGCTGCTAACTAGTCACTCTGTGGCCACTATGGCCCTTCCCAGCCTCTGCTGGCCTCTGTGCCTGGCTCTAAGGGGATCAAAAGACCCTAATGCTCAGGAAGTCTGCATGCAGGCAAACTTTGATCCAGGGGACAAATGTCAGGAAGTAGTAGTTTAGCTGAAGGAGGAGGGCAGGAAAGGGAGGGTTTCATGGGCTCAAGATGGAGTGGGTGGTCAGGCTTCTGGGACAGAAAACCTAAGCTGGTTGGCCAGTGGACTCACTGAAATAAATTAAAGCCAGCTTTGCAGAAGGGACCTCAAACAACAATCCCCCCCCAAATTTCCTGACTCATGCCCTGCCCTGTCTCTACCATCTTTCCTTCCAAGAAGAACGCCTAATCACACTGAGCCATGCCCCCAAGTGGTTACGTTTTCTCTCCCCCAGTTCTAGACAGCATTCTGAAACACACCGACAACTTGCACAGAGCGGGACAAAGCTTTGTGGGCTGTGACTGCTTCCCAGCCTAGGACTGGACTAAAGTTACAGTTCTCCTCGTGGCTAGCTCTGCTTTCCCTGGAGTTCTGAGTTGCTTTTCATTCTTTGTTTGCACAGTTTGCCTGTGTGTGTGTGTGTGTGTGTGTGTGTGTCTGTGTGTGTCTGTGTGTGTGTGTGTGTCTGTGTGTCTGTGTGTGTGTATCTGTGTGTGTGTGTGTCTGTGTGTCTGTGTGTGTGTGTGTCTGTGTGTGTGTCTGTGTGTGTGTGTGTGTGTGTGTGTGTGTCTGTGTGTCTGCCCCCTACTTCTAACTGTCCAATCAGACGTTCTGGTATTTTGGAGAGTCTTTCCTGGGGCCCTCATGCAGCACCAATAGGAGCGTTCCTTTGGTCTTGTTCATTTGGATCCAGGTAAAAGTACAACCCTGTACACTAGGAGCACAAGGCGAATACTGCCAAAGGCTATTTTTGCCTACCTCAAAGTAGCGGAAACTTAAAAGTAATCATCTTGTAATTTCCTTTACTGGAAGCTGAGAGCTAAGCAGTAGCATTGTAGGCCAGCTGTGTCTGGCTCCACCAGTCATTCCCACACCCACCTAGGTCTTAGCCCTCGGAGCAGAGGACGCTCAGCAGCCCCTGGAGGGTGGTGGGAAGCAACCAAGCTTTTGGCTTGTCGGAACTAACCAGAGAAGTGCTAATAAGCTGGGGAGGGGCGTGTCCAGGACAGCACCCAGAGGAACAATTCAGAGGCAAAGTGAGAGAGGGTGGGTCACACTGGTCAGGTGACCCCGGAGGCCTTCAAACTTCAAACCTCTCACTCAACTCATCCTACCTGAAGCCTTTGGAGGCTCCTCTGCCGTGGAGCCACAAGGAGTCTACCAGACCCGTCTTTAAGAGAGAGGGGGATTTCCTGCCGAAGTGCTCCAGTCCTGGCCTGGTGTTCCCCTCCCTCAAAGGCCTTCCAGCCAAGCTGACAGCACCAGCTACCAAGACCTGAATAGTGATGAGGCAGCCTCTGAAGTAGTGCCCAGGCCTAAGGATGGAGTATGTAAAGACCGGTTGGGAGCCGGCCCCTTGCTCCCTCCCTGAAGAACACTGGAGCAGAGCCAGGGGTTCCTAGGGCGCTGTGTGGGGGCGGTCTCGCCGCCCCCAGGCACACAAAACACACACACACACACACACACCCCTCCCGCGGCGAGGCAAGGCTGGCAGATGGACCGCCGACGACGCGGGGCTTGGGCGTCTGGCCGACACAGACATGCCTGTTGCTGCCGGCGGGACAAAGCCAGCGAGACAAAGGCGCGGCTAACACCTGTCGCTCCTGGCCGGGTAGCCGCTTTTCTCTGCAGCTGCCAACTGTCACGGGCATCAAGTTACCGGGGCCAGACATCAGCCTCGGCTTGCAGGGCCCAGAGATGGAAGGAGGAGGAGCCAAGAAGGACTAGGGATGGTGGAGATGGGGGGACACGAAGGGGACTCGCGGGGGAGGGAGATGGGAGTGGAAAGGGGGAGCAGGGAAATGTGAGATCACCAGATTGGGGTGCGAAGGGACTAGAGGAAAGTGAGGGGAGCGTAGGCTGGTAGGGGGTGATGAACAAGGACGGAGAAGCTTGAAGGGGGCAGCAGGGGGTGGGGCTAGAGAAAGACAAGGCAGTACAGAGGAAAGAGAGGTTCAGTAAGAACGACCACAGACCTCGGAGTAAGGTTACAGGTGTCTTCCCGAGTCCACAAAACACTTAAGGGTAGGGGCCGGCCTTGCTACTGCTGCTAAGCTGGCTTCCTCTGTCCCTGGACTTTGCACTCTCGCCACCCGTGACCCGAAGCCCCTTCCAGGTCCCGAGGGCGCTGTCCCGCTTGAAGCCGGTTCTAGGGTTCCCGAGTTGAAGCGCTATCCTCGGGAGCACCTTTGGCGAACGCACTGTAGGGATGGATGGGTGAGGGGGTGGGTGGAAGGGAAGAGTGGATAGATGCACGGACGGAAGAACGGATAGCGAAGTCCGGGCTTACAGGCTGCCAGATCGGGCTCATGACTCCGCTGAGGGAGGTACAAGCTTCACAAGCAAGACAGACGCCGGGGGTCACCGCCCCAGAGCCCCGCCCCTGCGGGAGTGGCAGGAGGTCGGGCTGCAGGCTCCGCCCCGCCAGCTGCCAGAGGCCCGCGGGGCTGGACAAAGCGCGCCGCTCTCATTGGCTGCAGGCTGCCTCGCGGCTGGCAGCTCCAGCCACGCACAGCCAATCGGTGCATTGACATGTAAATAAGGTGCTATAAAAGGGGCGGGGCGTCGCGGGCCGGAAGACTCCCGAGAACTAGTGAGGCCTCCGGGCTGCGGACACACCTCGCGGTGGGGTTTGCACTCGGCGCCCGGCGCCGGGCTGCGGGCGCTGCGGACCATGGCTCCGTCCCAGGCGCCCAGCCGGGACCGTGGAGGTCACGAGGATGAGGACCGCTGGGAAGCTCGGGGGGACCGCAAGGTGCGAACAGGGGCCGCGGGCGGGCGGGCTTGCGGGAGGCTGCGCGGGCCAGGGGCTCAGTAGCCGCTTCCCGCAGGCCCGGAAGCCCCTGGTGGAGAAGAAGCGACGTGCGCGGATCAACGAGAGTCTTCAGGAGCTGCGGCTGCTGCTGGCCGGCAACGAGGTGCGGCGGGAAGGGTGCGCTGGGCTTCGGGGTGCTCGCAGGGACGCGCAGCCCGGCTCAAGCCCCTCTCCTTCTGCGCAGGTGCAGGCCAAGCTGGAGAACGCCGAGGTGCTGGAGCTCACGGTGCGGCGCGTGCAGGGCGCGCTGCGGGGCCGGGCGCGCGGTGAGTGGCGGTGGGGACCGAGGGCGGGAGCGCTGACCGGGCACGCCTGCCGCCAGCGGCGCGACGGGGACACGTCGGCTCGCGGAGCCCCGGGCCTGTCCATCCCCCTTCCCCCATCCCCCACCCCTCCCCGCAGAGCAGGGCACCCCGGAGTGTCTCCTGGGTGAGCCCCGAACCCGCGGAGCCGTGGTGGTAGTCACGGCTCACGGTGCGGGGGCGCTGCTCTCTTCTTCCCGTCCTCCTGCGCAGAGCGGGAGCAGCTACAGGCCGAAGCAAGTGAGCGCTTCGCTGCCGGCTACATCCAGTGCATGCACGAGGTGCACACGTTCGTGTCCACGTGCCAAGCCATCGACGCCACCGTCTCGGCTCAACTCCTGAACCACCTGCTGGAGTCCATGCCGCTGCGTGAGGGTAGCAGCTTTCGGGACCTGCTGGGGGACTCCCTGGCTGGGCTGCCGGGGGGCTCTGGAAGGAGCATCTGGCCTTCAGGAGGGTCCCCAGGGTCTCCATCGCCCAGTCCCCTGGGGCCCGGGGACGACCTGAGTTCTGACCTAGAGGAGATCCCTGAGGCTGAACTAAATCGGGCACCTGCCGAGGGGCCGGATTTGGTGCCTACATCTCTAGGCAGTCTGACAGCAGCTCGCTTGGCCCAGAATGTGTGGCGGCCTTGGTGACCAACGCTAACCAGGGACCCGTGGGGGGTGGGCTGCCATCCTTAGGCCTGCTCCCTCCCTGGGTGTCAGATGGGGTGGAAACAGTCCAGGATGCCCCTGCCCCGTGTGCCCTCCCCACTCTTCCAATGGATGGCTGGCATGACAGCCCTTGGTGGCCAGCCCCTGTAGGTCCCTCACCCTGTTTCTTGAGGGAATCAATTTCACGGACCCTATAGCTCTGGATGGGGGTGGGGGGGAGGGAGGCTATGGAAAGGAGACTCTTGTAGAGCTGCCAGGGCTCCCTTATGCTCACCTGTTCCTGCCTTTTAGGCATTCTGAGGGGCCTAGGGCAGAAGTGGCCAGTCTTGAAGCTGAGCATTAGTGTCCATGGCAGGGACACACAGGCCATAGCAGTCCTGCCCTGAATAGCAGTTCAGGTTTGCTAGGAGACCAGGGGAGGCAGGCGCATTCTGCAGGGTCACTGAGAGCCGCTCCCTGCTTGTAACACACTGGAGTGTGTGAATTTGGTTGCCATCAGATGTGCCAATTAAATAAAGAACTTGGAGTTAGTTGCCCCTTGTGTACTGTCATTGATGTGTCTGTCGGATGTGAAAGCTCATCAGTATCCAACACTAGTAAATGTCTTTTTAAAGGGTTCACCCTGTGTCAGCCTAGTGCATTCATGTGGCGCTGACAGAGATGCCCACTGCTGGGCAGGTCCCCTAGGCTGCTCCACTTTCCTAGGAGTATCTGTCCTAGAGGATTCCGCTAGCACGGGGTCTCTCAGCCACAGGGTAACTAAGCCGCAGGAAAATGATCAGTCCCTGTCCTGTTCTCTCCTGAGTTTCCAGGAATAACCCTCATGACTAGTTGCTAACTCTTTGCCTTGGAAGTAACTTTTGCTAGCCGAGCCTTAGGGTGGACTGGGCTTGTCACTTTTCAAGATTGTAGGAGTTCTCCCTGGTGCCACTGCAGAGACAGGGAGTGCTTGAAATGAAAGTGCCGTGGCCCCAGGCAGCTTGGGCTTGAGGTTAGGTTAGAGATCAGAATCCTGAGGAAGGGGGAAGCTGATGGGATGGGCAGCTGGTATGCCTGTAGCTACCCATAGTCAGCAGCAATCACTAGCCCTGAAAGAGAGCCCCTCTTGTCCAGTGCCCCAAAGCAGATGCTTTTCACTAGGCTTCAAGCAGGTAGCTTGACATGTGACAATATAATATTGTCATATGCATCTCTTCTTAGGTCAGGTGCCTTTAAGAGCATCTTTCTCAAAAGCTGCATAGCACCTTCTGGTCCCCAGAGTGGTTCAGCATTTGGAGTTCATCTCTCTGCCAGGTTAGAATCCATGCAACTTATTCTTAGCAATAGGGCTGATCTGTGGGCAGCTGGAGGAATGAAAATGTTATTTCTGGGGTTATTTTTATCACCTCAAGATAGTGTAGTATTCCATAGGGCATATAACGGGCCCTCTTGTGTGGCTTCTATCACCATCTAGAAGCCAAAGCACTGAGCTGTGGTGCCACAGTTGATAACATTGTCTAGAGACTGCTTGCAGGAGCACCTGTTCTGTGCATTTTCCACAGGCCTCAGAACAAGGGAAGCCTTACTCCTTCCCCAAGATGACTTGGGATAAATGTACCACTGGGCCTGCTGTCCACTCGAGGTCAGAAGCCACTGACTGAGCTTCAGCCCTGTGTTCCTCCAACCCAGAGTCAACCTCTTTGTAATCCTCAGGCACAGCCTCTTAGAAGCTGTTGCCCTCAGCTGGGAAGCACACTCTGGGACCACGAGTTTTCTTTTCAGCTATACCCTTATTTCATGCACTCTGGCTCCTCTTCCCTAAGCCCCTAGGCATCCTCACAGGCCTCCTGCTACAGCATTTCATGGCCTACTTTCCCTTTTCTGAAAATTGCCACCCCACCCCAAGACTCTGATTCTGTATTTTCTATACTACCCCCAACAAGTGACCACAAACTTGGTGGCTGAAAAGAGCAGGCAATACCAAGCATTTCTGTAGGTTGAGAGTCCAAAGCAGAGTTCACAGAGCTCAAATCAGGGTTTCAACAGGCTGTTGAAATTGTTGTGCTGTGTGATGTCTATTCTTGGCCATCAGCTTGACTACATCTGGAATTGACTAGAACCCAAGCACCTGGGTACAATGGTGAGGATTTTTTTTTTCTTAATTAAATCATTTGAAGTACAGAGACTCACTTTTCATCTTTTGAGATAGGAAGATGAACCTTTAATTTGAGCCACACCTTCTTGCTATATATAAAGTTGTGCTGTATATAAAGGCAGCCTAGATAAAGGCCATGCTTGCTTGGCCTGCTTGGTTTCTCTTGCTGGCAAGCCCGTTCTTTTACTAGCATCAGAGCCTACTTCTTCAGGGTCCCAGCATATGCTGAAAACCAGCTGACATGTCCAGTCCTGTGGACTGATGTACCGAATTCTTGGACAGCCATTGCTGAGCTTACTGGACCATAGCCTGTAAACCATTCTAAAAATCCCTTTATACATCTGTATCTACATCTATATAGATATAGATTCATCCTATTTGTTCTGTTCTTCAAGAGAACCCTTACGAATACTGATTTTGGTCCCAGAAGTGGTTCTAGAGCAACAGAAGTATAAGGATGAATTCTTTAAGTATCTGGAACAGGCCCTCCAATTTGCCAGCACCTACAGTTACTGAAGTCTCTCCAATTACTGATACCTCTTCTGGCAGCTTGGAGAGTACTGAAAGCCCATGGCGTGAACTACTTTACAAATTTAATGAGACAAATGCATTTGATTATCCTGATTCACCAATTATGAGAGGCAATGGATTTGTTGAGTCTGTTTATAAGATTTTAACAATTTGTGGGAAAATAAGAAAAATGATGATGTTCGTTGCTTATATCTTTTCATAAACTGACCAAGAGAAAGAAAGCTCTGTGATAAAATTAACCAACTTCTATCATCTTAGAGAACAGTGATAAAATTGACCAGCTTTAGATACACTTACATGATCTAAAGTTTTCTAAGTGTGCCCTGGAAGAGAATCTTCTCTTCAACAGTGGCAGAGCTCAAGTTTTGGGGGCTGGTTTTGTAAGCTGCATGTTCAGGTGCTGATTTCAGTGCCCTGAAATCAGGTTGCAGTCAGGACATGGGAATTGTCATGATTGTTGAATTTTTTTTCTGTATCAATGTTGTGTAAAGAATGCTCCCCAGTTATCTCTGACTGGTTAATAAAGAAGCTTAAGAGACAGTGACTGGGCAGAGGAAACAGTAGTCAGGATTTCCATTCCCAGTCTGGGGAATGAGGGTCTCAGGTAGAGAGACAGGGGTTGAAGTCACTGGGCCATGAGGATGTAACCTTGAGGCAGGAGAAAGGAGAAAGTCACTAGGCCATGATAGAGTGCCATAAGGACAAAGATGAAGCAGGAGCAGCCAGGGTGAAACTAAATGGCAGGTAATGGGGCCGACTAGCACAGATGGGTTAGAGAAGATGGGAACTGCCCAGGTTGTGCTTTAAAGTTTATTTATAAATGTAAAGCCAGGCATGGTTGGCGCACACCTTTAATCCCAGCACTCAGAAGGCAGAGGCAGGTGGATCTCTGTAATTTTGAGGACAGCCTGATCTACAAAGCAAGTTCAGGACAGCTAGGGGTATGACACAGAGAAATCCAGTCTCAATAAATAAATAAATAAATAAATAAATAAAGAAAGAAAGAAATGTAACAGATCTTTGTCTCATTATTTGGGAGCTAGAGCACACCTAGGGGGGAAAAAGCCATAATCTTACACTCAAGTATTGGAAAATGAAACCAAAGTTTGTATTATAAGGGTGGCTGAATTACAGCAAAAATTCAAGTTTCAACCTTGAAGAGTGTTGGTGGTTAATTTAACGGCATTAATTGGTAATGAAGGGCATCTGTAACTTGGAATGGAGACCTGGAGGAGGATCTTACTGAGGCTGAGAACATTGAACCTTCAGATTTTTAAGAGTTTATCTTACTCAAAAGTTTAAGAGTTCATCTTACCTTCAGAAGATGTTCTCCATCCCACCCCCTGAAATACTGTCTTTTCCACCTGAGAGAATTAGTGGCTTTCTGAAAGAGATTCCAGGCAGGATAATATTGATGTGGCCATGGTGGCAGAGATGGAGGTTATAAATCTGCTTTTCTTTTTTAAGTAAAAAAGAAAGGAAGGAAGGAAAGACGAGAGCCAGGCAGTTGTGGCACACGTCTTTAATCCCAGCACTTAGGAGGCAGAGGCAGGCAGATCTCCAAGTTAGAGGCCAGTCTGGTTTAAGGAGAGTTTTCCAGGACAGCCAATGCTATGCAGGGAAGCCCTGTCTCCAAAAAAACAACCAAACCAAAAACCCAGGCTCTAGGCAGCTCAGCAGAGGATTGTCTCCAATGTACCTCAACACATAGATGCCACATACGCTAGCAAGAGGGCCCCTTCCTGTGACCATGCCTCCTGCCAGGGTCTTTTGCCTTTAGCCTGGCTCTACCCTTGGTGACCATCGATCATAACTAGCACCCTGGTTGACCTGGCTAAGCGGAACGGAGGCTGCGGCCAGCTAGCCACCACTCCTCCCAAGGGCCATCACTTTAAAGGAACATCTGCTACAGGACCATCACCGAGTCGCTGTCCCTCCCACCGGTGTGTGTTGCTGGGCACTGGGAAGTGGGAGTTGCAACCCGACTTGTGCCACCACTGCCCACTGTCTGTGCGTGCACCTGGCCTCCAGGAAGTAGTGGCATCACTTAGAGCTGGCTTGTTGCTAGATTCATTGGCTGTGAGTCACTCCCCCTTGGCTATGTGTGAATTCAGAAAAGACACCTGACTGCCTCTCTGTGACACATAGGTCATGTTCAAGACACAGTCCCATCTCCACTTGCAATGTAGCCTCTCCTGGATTATCGCTCCCTCACCCAGAAACTTTTTTTTTTAACCTCTCTTCATCCCAAGGTTTTTCTACCCTTGTAAGTGTTGAAGCTCAAGGGGGGAGGGTTGCAGCTGTGGGGGAAGGGTTTCCCAAAACAAGTGTAACAGCTCTGTAACCTACCTCAGGCAGAGGCAGGTTCCCTCAGAGAAAGTGTTACAGCTCGGATGGAAAGGTATCCTGGCAGCAAGCAGGGAGCCGAGGACCACCACACAACAAACCCCACCTGAGATTTGTTAGGAGGGAGATGGCTGCCTCTGTTCAGGCGAGAAGCAGCAGGGAACTAAATGGAAGGTTGGGGTTTATATAGACTTTCTGTGACAAGCCCAGGGATTGGGGCTTCTGTTTCTTGGTCATGGTCTTGTGCTTAGGGTCAAGTCGGGGTCAGGGTGTTTTTCCTTTGGCCCTTTTACCCTACAACCCTGATTCTGCCTTGTTGCCCTCCGCCTTTTGGGATCCCCATCTATCCATCCTATCCCCAAACTGGCAGCTCCTTACATCCTGCCACTTACTACCAGGTCAAATGGGCACCACAAACTGCCATGAACACCACTGATTGATTGTTGCCTGAATGCACTTCCCAGGTGATGGCACTTCTTGATACCTTGATGGTGGTAGGAGAGACTCCTGTGGCTGATAAAA